ATAATAATATAAATGATAGATTGAAAGTCTGAGATTTTTTTTTTATTGCTATACACAAAATAGGGAGGTAGAGTCTGTGCGGAGAGATTGGGATTTAGATTGGAGGGCGCTGTAGTGCTTTTCTACCGTATTTGTAAGGTTTTACCCCTTTTAGACATGATTAAATACAAAAAACCGCAAGAAATCACAACAACAAACAAATCCGTATTCAATAGAAAACTGTGACGTTTTACAGATTGCTGGGTTTGATTGCCAAATAAAAATCTTAATGTTAGTTCCGTTTTTCGCCACGCCCATTCTCATTCCGCACAGACTCTAAAATAAACTTAATAATTCTAATGCTACGTTAATAATGAGAACGCATATTTTTTGAAAGATTGTTAATTACGAACTGATTTTTTGACATAGAACTAATGCGAGGAAACAATGAGTTGCGATACTGCTGATGCGTGACCTAATTATTAAAAAGCATACTGTAAAATATACACCGTATACCAAGGCTTCATCATCACCTCATACTAGCGAACCCGACAGAATTTGACTTGCCTAATAAAAATATTTAAACATCCTGAAACCCGACTGTAGTATAGAGCCATCTATCGGGTAGAGATGGAATTAAAGTTGTTTTTTCTTATTTATAGCGTAACCTTCTTGATTTTTCAAAGAACTTTTTACAAAAAGACTAAGGGAAATAGGGGTTAATTATTACACCTACGTAAGAGCGCTTAATTTGTATATACCTACATAAGATTTGTTGTAACCATTTGTTAAAGCTACGCATTCCGTCAGGTTTTTGTGTTTCAGTTCCATTTACATACTCTTCTAAACAAACCAACTCGGCTCAGCAAAAATAGTGCGCTCTGAAAATACACGGACACATTTCATTCCACGTTTCAAAAGCCAAATCCGTATCAAAGTTATTTCAGCTGGCAACCCTGTGAGCGCAGAATGCTAAAGTCCAATGAATATGCCTTATATATACCATAGTCTATGGATTCTTTTTATGCCGCGTCCTGTCGGGAATCGCAATATTGATGGTTCTGGGACGCCTCGGGAATGGCGCGAATCCAACTTGGGAACTCGTATCATTGTCTATGATCCAACCATACAGAGTATGAAACATAGTTAGTTAGGTTAGTTAGTTTATACTATTCCTATTTATTACAACGAGTATTAAATCATAATAATAAATATTTCCAACTTACACCAATAAGCCCAGTCCCAAAGTAAGCACTGTAAGGCTTGTGTTATGGGATTACCAGGATAACGGATAGAATACATATACTTTACATATATAAGTACATTTATTAAGAAATACATATTAAAGATCACACAAATGCTCGTATTCATCACACGAACATCTGCCCCATGTGATGCACTCTTTTATTTTTACGCTTTATCCGGGAGAACGTCAAAGTTTCAACAATAGGGGTGGGTGATGACTGAGTAAATTAAACAAAATTCTATTTAGTCTATTAGTTCGATTATCGAAAAATAATGTATACGTATTCTTTTGTCAATCAACCAAAAACTGGCAAAAATAATGCATGTCAAAGTTTGGGAGGGCTCGTGACGTCACTTCTTAGTAAAAATTGTACTAAGACATGACGTCATCCGACATTTCAAATCAATATACCTTTTGTAATGGTTTGATTATGTGAAAAAATAAAAAATACGTGTACAATACTTTTTGATAATCTGCCTTGAGGAGCTCCATGGCGCAGGTGGCTAGCGCATTCGGCTGCGATCGTTGAAGTTAAGCAACTTTCGCGGTGGTCGATCATTGGATGGGTGACCAAAAAATTTACTATGTCGAGCTCCTCCGTGCTTCGGAAGGCACGTTAAGTCGTTGGTCCCGGCTGCATTTGCAGTCGTTAGCACCCACCAATCCGCACTGGGCCCGAGTGGTGGGTCATGGCCCAATCTCCCTATTCTATCCATAGGGAAGGCCTGTGCCCCAGCAGTGGGGACATTAATAGGCTGATGATGATGATGCTGATGAATCTGCCTCACCTGATAGACGAGGAAAAGAAGTGATCTCTATCAACAGAAATATTTTACTCTTGGGGCCTTCAATAACTTCCGGAGAAGCTTAGAACCCAACCAATTTTCAATTTCAACGTTTCAATTTCTTTATTGCATATCCACAATTAAGAAATTATTGCCACATAAGCTTCATTGAGCAATAGAGTTTCGAAGGAGATCGTACAGGGCAATTGATAAATTTAATGTTCCTGCTGAAAAAGCTTTTCGTTAAACAATAAAATAAGTTGATAGAGAATTTTCACCTTCATTTATTTCATTATACATTATATTTATCCCATAGTTTTAGCGTTGATTTTTGTTTTATTAACACTAAATTTTATTCCACATTTTCGCATGATGAGGCCTTGATGTTTTACCTACGCCACAATTTATGTTGCGTGAGATTACATAAAAAGAAAAGTAAGGTGTTTCTTTAAAAATTTAACCTTTTAACAAAAGTTTACGTAGATAAAAGTATACTCTGAAAATTGCAACTCAGACAGCGCCGCAATGAAAGCTGCCTTTAGCCGCTTCCGCGCCAATGGCTTATTTTCTACTCACGAGACGAGAATGCAATTTAGCTCCGCACACTGAAACTACTCGCACGCGTCTCTAGACACACGTCTTTGTTATAACAATTTAGATATTGCACTCAGTTATGAACTCAATATACTGCAGTGCAGGAAAATGAAGAATTGTTTATGTACAATAACTTGTGGGTGGCGCGACATCGTTTGCGTGGAAATATTAATATCCCATACAAACTTTGTCTTCCGTTTGAGCACTTTACGGGGGTTTTGGAAAGTCCTTTGTAAGCGCATGCCGTGATGATGCGAGTGGGTAGCGCGTTCGGCTGCGATCGTTGAAGTTAAGCAACTTTCGTAATGGTCGGTCATTGGATGGGTGACCAAAAATCTTCTATCTCGCCTTCCTCCGTGCTTCGGAAGGCTCGTTAAGCCGTTGTTACCGGCTGCATCTGCAGTCGTTAGCACGCGCCAATCCGCACTGGGCCCGCGTGGTGGATTGGGCATGGCCCAATCTCCCTATTCCATTCATAGGGAAGGACATTAATAGGATGATGATGATGATGATGAAGCGCATGCCTATAGCATATTAGCTATGTGTGCCAAATTTCAGTTCAATCCGTTCAGTGATTTGAGGTGTTCGTTGATAGATCAGTCAGTCAGCAACGGTTGCCTTTTATATATATAAAGAAAAGAAAAAAAAATCTTTAATTACCGATACTTAGCTTAGACTGGGAGAAAATGAATCGCCATGAATGCGCTATCTACATGGAGCGCCCGCATCCCCGCTCCGTGGCTATCTATTAACTTATTGACATCCCAGTTTCTAAAAATTAATGCAGGTGTTATGCTAATAGCTAATATGTTTTCTTAAAACATCAATAACACAATGTTTATGATGATATTGATGTCGACTGGTCTGGCATAATTCTCTAAAGCTAAACTTAAATTTGACAACAGTGCATCCTTGTCCTTCTCTATACAGAATGAAAAGGTGAGACTGACCTTAAATTTAGTTTTAAGTTTAGAGAATCACGCCAGAATTGACACCAATGACAGTTTAAGTAAGTTGTTATTTCATTTTGTATCTAATTGTTTTTTAAGATGTTAAGTTAACTTCTCCAAAAAATATGGCATGACGTTGATATAATACGTCATTAACACTTAAAAAGCATGTCCACATCATTGCAGAGTCGCACCCTTAGAAGATAATCTAAAAACGCGAATCGATAGCGTTAAAAGTAAAATAAAACCTTTTGAATACCCATTTTCGCGTCGCAATCGAATCGGTAGGAACATCTTTTTAACAGCAGTCAGTATACAATTGATTCGATTCGAATACCCACCAATAGCTTATTTTCTTTTCAGTTACAATTAGGGTTACCATCCGTCCGGATTTGTCCGGACATGTCCGGCTTTTTAATTTGTCCGGATTTTTTTAAGTAGGTGGAATATGAGTAGAGTTACTTATGAAGTTATATCAAATAAGTGAAATCTAATATATAAAATTCTCGTGTCGCGGTGTTTGTGGTTAAACTCCTCCGAAACGGCTTTCCCGATTCTCATGAAATTTTGTGTGCATATTGGGTAGGTCTGAGAATCGGACAACATCTATTTTTCATCCCCCTAAATGTTAAGGGTAATCCACCCCTAATTTTTTTTTTCAATTTTAGATTTTTTTTTAATTTTTTTATGATATATCATACAAAAATACATAAATCCCTAAATTTTCAACTTTCTACCACCAACCCCTATTTTTTTATGGCAGTATGAAGTTCGCTGGGACAGCTAGTAATCTATATTATTTGAGGAGCTCGATGGCGCAAGTAGTTAGCGCGTTCGGCTGCGATCGATGAATTTAAGCAACTTTCGCAGTGGTCGGTCATTGGATGGGTGACCAAAAATCTTCTATCTCGAGTTCCTCTGCTAAGGCACGTTAAGCCGTTGGTCCCGGCTGCATCTGCAGTCGTTAGCACCCGCCAATCCGCACTGGGCCCGCGTGGTGGGTCATGGCCCAATCTCCCTATTCCATCCATAGGGAAGGCCTGTGCCCCAGCAGCGGGGACATTAATAGGCTGATGATGATGATGAATCTATATTAAGTCTCATTAATTTAAAACAAAATATAAATTATCTTTAAAAATCAACAACGAGACCTCGTGATGCGAGCGTCTTTACTAACGCTTATAATATCACTGTAACTAGGTGGATGATGTTTGCATTTTGTGACTAAAATGTCCGGACTTTTATCGAAATATCCGACTTTTTGTCAGGATTTTTCAAATTTTTAAATAGTAACCCTAGTTACAATAGAACGCAGTTTAGTTTGTTAAGATAAATAAGCGTTGCGAACACTCGCTCCGCCCCCGGCGAGCACTTAGTTCTATCTTTTATTTCTTCTGTTCCTTGTTGTAATCCGATACTAATGGTGTTTTGTTTGTTTGTGTTGCAGTGTTCCCTAATGTTCCGGCGCCTGGGATGCCATGTGCCGGTGAAGACAGTAAGTTACTCATAATATCTAAGTATAATTAATGAACTTATGATAAAAATACAAGGTCTGACTCTGAATATTTAAATAAAAATGGTTTTTAATTCGGTTGGTAAAACTGTACTTCCAGGGACAAAGAGATGATACTTGAACTTTTTTGTAGAAAAAGTATCTTTTAAAAAAAACTGGGCTCGCGCGTTATGGTCACAACACTAACCTAACCTAGTGTAAAGTATCACCACATGGGGCCCTGGAAGTACAGTTTAGCCATTCGGTTTAAACTAGAAAACTATTTCAGTCTCGCCATTGCTGACTTTTGACTAGGTAGGGAAGGCCTGTGCCCCAGCAGTGGGGACATTAATAGACTGATGATGATGATGATGATTGCTGACTTTAAGTCAGTCTTTGCATAAATTCAGACCAGTCATCCATCCTTTAACTGACCCTTACAAAAGTTGTATTTGCTCTTACCGAGATCCGAAACGAAGACCTCACAGTGAGTGACACATTTAAAGCACGAATCGCTCTACCGCGTAAGTATATCTACGCTGTAATGGCCTGTGCAGACTAGTGACTTTAGCCGCGTGGTTTTTTGTCCGCCAAAATAAATCGCTAACAACTGCATCGAGTGACGCACACGAGTGATCAAAAGTCCCGCGTACAAATAGTCCCCCCAACAACCAAGGACGCTGAGATACTGAACAGGATAAAAGTACGCGGAATTCCCCGAAAAAAATAAAACTCGAGTTATTAGGCGCAGCAACCAACGATATTAAATACCCTAGATACACCACGTGCGCTCAAAATGTGTCCCTATCAAGAAGTGCTTGAACACCACTCAAGCACTTCTTGGTTCATAGTCACACGCGGACCGTTGAACAGTCAACATGCCGCTGAGCTCCGTGAAATAGTGCGAAATGAATACTTATAGTATGTAAAATGTCGTTTTTTCGATAGATATCTCATCAATGTTTGTTAATTTAACGTATTTGAAGCAAATGTTGTTTTAATACTTACTATAAACTGGTTAATAGAAAATATTTCTGATATTCAAATGCATGGTCGGTAATATAGCCGTCTCTTTTCCTCGCGGTCCGTACCTGTACCCTTAGTACGAGTTTACAATTACGAAAACTATCATAGATTTCGTGAGCTCGCACTCGTACTAATTGTACTGATTTTATTTATTTATTTTATTTATTTATTTATTCTTTATGCACAAATGTACAATGGCGGACTTAATGCCGTAGGCATTCTCTACCAGTCAACCATAGGATGTTGTGGAGATTATTAGTGGTAGGGTGCACAACTGAAGTGGAAATCACATGGAAAGAAAGTTTATAAAAATAATAATATATAAACATACACATACATAAGTTAATACATTTAAATAAATACACAAATACATACATACTTCCAAAATAAATACAAAATAATGACGACAAACCACTCAATGAAACGCCTGTTCTAATAAAAAGCTTCGCAGTTTGGTTTTAAAGGTATATTTACTGGGGGACATTCTGATATCTAGCGGGAGATCATTCCACAAAAGTATCGTTTTTACGAAGAAGGAAGAGTGAATAATATCGGAGCAGTGTGATGGAACGATAAGTAAACGATTAGAAGAAGATCGAAGATTTTTACTATGAGAGGTACATAAGTACTGAAATTGAGAAGTGAGATAAGGGGGAGCATTTGGAGAATCTAGCAAAGAGAACAGGGTGGTCAGAGCCCGCATAGTTCTGCGCTGCCTAATGGGCATCCATTTTAAGTGAGATCGGTATGCGGAAACATGGTCATATTTTCTCAGATTGAAAACGAATCGAATGCAGTTATTCTGAAGACGATCAAGTTTGTTGAGTAGATCTGCATTCAGGTCGAAGTAGCACAAATCACCATAGTCGATTATGGGAAATATTAAGGTTTGCACAAGCATTGCCTTGATATTGACCGGCAAAAAATTTTTCATTCGATAAAGGGCACGCAGGGTTCCCGTTACTTTTTTACAGACACTACTAACTTGGTCCTGCCATTTAAAACTCGAGTCGATATACAAGCCTAGATCTTTAACGACGTTGCAAAAAGGTATTGTAGTGCCGTCATGAATGATGGAACCAAGACTGTTGATGTCAATTTTGCTCATCATCCTTGACCCCCCTAATAAAATGGCTTGGCATTTTGAAGCATTGACAGTGACCCCGAATTTTTCCGACCAGGTTTTAATAGCAACTAGGTCACTGTTTAGAGCATCAATGGCTTCGTTTAAATTGTCGATGCTTGCTTCGGTATATAATTGTAAGTCATCAGCATATAGATGATACGAACACTGAAGATTGTGAGTGATAAAATCAATAAAAGTAGAAAAAAGAAGAGGAGAGAGAATACCGCCTTGGGGAACACCAGTTTCCAGGTTGCGCCAGGATGAGGAAGATTCCCCAGACCGGACCAACTGCTGGCGGTCCCGAAGATAAGAAGAGAACCAAGTCAACACATCGTCAGAGACCATAAGATGAGATAGTATAGAAAGGAGAATATCGTGACTGACTGTATTAAAAGCATTGGAGAAATCGATAAGTACTAAACATGTTACTTTACCGTTCTCCATTCCCGCCCTAATATCGCCAGTCACCTTTAAGAGCGCTGAAATTGTGCTATGTCCTGACCTAAATCCGGATTGGAGGGGGTTCATCAATGAATTTTTGTGGACATATTGAGATAATTGCTTGTGAACGCAGGCCTCTAGCACTTTTGACATGAAGGGGAGGATAGAAATCGGCCGAAATTCATGTGGCTGTGTTGGATTGGAAACTTTGGGAAGAGGCCGTACATAAGCTTTTCGCCATAGCATAGGAAAAGTGCTGGTTTCAAGAGAAGAATTCATTAAATGCGTTATAGCAGAAAGAAGAAGGTCAAGAATAGTAATGATCATGCGACGACTAATATCATCACACCCTATCGCATTTGACTTAATGGAAAGTATTATCTTTTTAATCTCTGTCGATGTGACTGGTGAAAAATGGAAGGGGTCGACGTTAGGACGCGTTAAACCATTTATGGAAGCAACAGTGCTTGCTGTAGAATCACGATCCAACTTAAAAGTTGTGGTGAAATGAGAATTGAGATCGTTTAAGTTTATGGAATTAGTTAGGTCTAAATGTCGCGATTTGCCGATACCTAGTGTTCCTAGGAACTTCCAGATATCTGCAGAAGATGAGGAAGAAAGATTGTTGAGAATATATCGGCGTTTGGCGTTACGTATCATCTGATTACACCGATTTCTAGCAGCCTTGAAGAGTTTCCAGTTTTCGTCAGAACGATCCTTTCTATAACTGCGATAAGTACGATTTCTACGTCTCATCGCCATCTGAACACCTGCTGTCATCCAAGGAGCTGGTTCACGCTTTAGCTTCACTTTTCTGATGGGCGCGTGGACATCATAAATGTTCAACAGGGTATTATTAAATATTTTTAGCTTTTCGTTGACAGCCGAAGCTTGAAACATAGGGTCCCAGTTGATCTCTGAGACATCCTTCAGTAATTTGTCTAAGTCCATACGCGCGAATGAGCGCCTGTGCAAAACCTTGGGAGGGGATTTGGGGGGCTTAAGCCGATAGGAAAGGAAGATGAGGTCATGATGAGAGAAGCCAGGAGCGATATGTTGACCATGTGATGTGACGAGAGAGGGATTAGAGGTGAGGATTAAATCCAGCCATGTATCATCACCACAAGAGTTTTGATGAGTTGGTTGAAGGGGTAAAATATGTAGGCTTGCGGACTGGACAATATGGAGGAGTTTTCGGGAACGGGAGGATTCGGGTGCGAGGAGATTGGTATTAAAATCACCCATGATGATAATATGTGCATATTCAGACCCTAAAGATTCTAGAACCTCTTCAAGTTCGGTGAAATAATCGACTGTGGGGGGACAATAAACTACACCAATAACTGCTTTAGCACGACCTGTCCCAATCTCCAGAAAAATATATTCCGAATTGGAGTCCGCGTTGGAGGAAGCTTTTAGTTTAAACAAAAATGTACTACGTAGATAGATAGCGACACCACCTCCGCCACGGCCACAACGATCATTCCGAATTAAGGTAAAACCAGGGAGAGAATAAGTGGCAGATAGAAGATGTGGTTTTAACCAAGATTCGGAAATTAGTATAGCGTGTACATTTCGCCCAGAGAACACATCAAGGAACTCGTCATAATGACTCGGTAAACTTTGGGCATTGACGTGACATATATTCAATAGACCTGGATTTTGGTCAAGAGTTCGATGCAAAAAATCACCAAGTGTGTCGGTAGCTGAACAGAAGCTTTCATTAATAGAAGTGTCTGCAGATTCGTCATCAGCAGATAAAAATTCGTCGTCTGATATCATATACTACGTAAATATTAATAAATAAATTTACAAATATATATATATAACAAATATTTTATTGTTTTCGTTTCAATACAAATAAACAGTGTTTAAATTCTATCATTAAATCATTTGCATCTTCTTAAATTTTAAGAATATTTGGTTACTTTTCACCAAAATGGACATAGAAGCATAATTTACAATTACGAAAACTATGATAGTAATCGAGAGCTCAAACTCGTACACTGCTGTATTTCTAACAGCGCATTCAGAAATGCGCGTAGACTCAAAGAAATAAGGTCTATATTCTTCCGCATATAGCAATAAGTCGTAAAATTTTACGAGCTTACATCTCGGACTGTTATAACTCTTTGACGCATGCGCTGATAAGGACCTTATACAGTGTGCTTTAAAGGTGATTTTCAATGTTTAAATAATGACTTATATTGTTTAGACTATGCGATTATCTTACGGAGCTCCGTGGATCGTCCAATGTACCTTTTGGACAGGTTTCGGGCATAATTTTGTTCGTGTTGGTGTATCTAGGCTATTTAATATCGTTGGCAGCAACGCACACAGCGAAGTTTAGTCTGTGTTGCGCGCTAGATCGGGTGGATCCAGTATTCTCGTTTAAAACGTTTTTATTTTTCTTAATGTTCATGTTAGTTACAACGCAACATAATCTCAGAATATTTGCTTCCATAACGTGCGTTTCTCTAAATATCCCGGCAACAAATGAACGCACAGCGTGCGTTGAGATGTGACAAGTTTTCGGTGGAAAAAAAATTCACGATTCAAGGTCCGTCACGAACAAATGTCCCTCGTCTGTGCGGGCCTTAATTCTTAGAGCAGTTCTTGTTCTGTTCACAATTACTTCCTTTTAGTTCACAATTAGTTCCTTTTGCGCACTTACAAACACCTCTTAACTCCTACAAATTGTCGCTACATCCCCAATAAAACTGGCGTCTACTAATGCAGCTGCGAACTTTACTAACAAACACCTAAACTTGGTCCACGGAGCGCGCCGCGTCGCAAGTAGCGACCGCCCACTATTTACATGTGAATGCCTGAAGTGCCCGTGTTTGGCGCCTTAACTGAACTTCGGCCATTGTGCATTTATATTGTCTATGACCTTTTGTACCCGAAAACCGCATAAACAGTTAGACACCTACCTTTTATCATTATTATTTGTATTTACCTATTAGAAAAAAATAGCATACAGTTGAATTGAGATTTTTTTTAAGTAGGATAAAATACACAACGGTTTCATGATGCCAAATTACTATGGCAATGGCTTATAAACGCGAGTCCTTCGTTAACTACAGATTTCAGTACCCCTAGCACAAACCAATGTCGAATTCGTGTCGTTTGCGAGTCCGAAATGTCATTGTCAAATGTGTACTGATATTTAGTTCTCGTTACGTACTTTGTGCTTTTGCTGTTCAAGTTTCCATACAAAATTTGACATTGACATTTCGGTTTGCAAGCTATTCGAATTCAAATAATGGTTCGTGCTAGGGGTACAGTTCTTTCAGTGGCTGCTTGAGACGGACGCTTTACTATTCGTCGGTCACGTTGTCTTTAGCAAGACTAATATTTTTCTGTCAAATGTCAATCAAAATGCTATCGATATCGTAACGAACGGTGTCGAAATGTCTTTTAGTTTAACCCGCGCTATTACTTCACATTGTAGGTTATGAGAATGTCAAATGAGAGATGCTTTTAAAAGTATTGATCTACTATGCGAAAGATTTTTTACTTCAATTTTAGCACAATCGTTAGTACATTCACCTGGAAAACGATATGTGCTGAGTAGCCATCCCTTTCATTCCACCATTTAGAAGGAGTAAACGAAAGAGATAAAGAGAAGAGTTAAACAGTCAGTCCCTGGGTTCGATTCCCGCTTGGTACCTATGGCAAATAAATTGTTCTAATCCCCGAAATTGTCTCGTCCGCTGCCTGGTCCGCGTGGATTTTTTTCTAGTAAACTTTTCTTTAGATTTAAACATCTAGCAGTTAAATGCTTAAAAAATAAATAAAATCATTGTTCTAATCATCATTTTTTAGGTAGATACATCAACTTCCTTTTAAAATTTCCTTTTTTTATATTTGCTTTTCGCTGTGTACATATTGAATAAATATGTTAAAACAGCTATAAATTTGGCAAGTGTTAAATTACTAATTTCCGCAACTATAAAATACGAAAAATGATAATAGACAACTCGTTTTCCGAGAACAGATCTATTGACACATACTGTCCGACGATACCCCACAATAAAAAAATTGTGATTCGTCAAACGGATCGATAAGATAAATCGATAACGGTCAATACGTCGATTAACCGGCTTAGCGAAGCAGTCGAGCAAGTGCTATGTCCCATTCAGATGTCTTGTTCTTTGGATATAGCAAAATTTTTTACAGGTGAAGAATGTTTTTAAATAAAATATATGGTTGCTTTTTATTAAACAAAAAAAACAATATAATTCAACCAATCATAATATATTTTCTCACGGCTACTATCGCTATGATATAGATAACAAATACAATAACACGGAACGGACACGTTCAATAACTTTTAAGACTGTTTTATTAGAAAAAAGAACTTCGATTGACTCCCCGAATTGTAATTTATTAATCTAAGGAAACACTGGCAATGTACAAATCGTACTAGCCAAAAAAACTATGGAAAAATTACAAAAAGTTATAAATATAAGCGCCAAATACTTTAACTGTAGAATTTAGAAAAAAGTTTGCAAATTACTCCTTTTTTGTGAAGTTAGTCTTAGTTTCTCGATATTTTATAGTGTATCATACATTAACAGTGACTTTTCATCGTTCCAGGGAGCATATACAGGAGAGGTGCTCGACGGTGGCGGAAGCTATATCGGGTCAATGGACACATCTTCCAGGCGAAACGGTTTAACAGAGTGAGTGATCTTCAAACAAATAACGCTGCGCTACTATCACAATTTCCTGTTTGTGCAACTAATAGTTTATTTTGGTAACATGCGATGTGTGTTCTGCTTCTGGAAAAATCGGAACGTAACTCTTTATTTATCTGTCTGTGAATATTGGCACAGAGAAACATTAATAGCAGCCACAGGTCAAGTAATCCTAAACTTGAAATTCTCTTAACTGGTTTTAAGATTTATTTCTCTTGATTTAGGATTCATAATCGATTGAGAAAATTTTACATTTAGTGTTAACTTGATGTGTGGCTAGATACCGTTTTAACTGCACGGCAGTGGCGCAAAAAATATCTACTACATTTGGTAGATATACTCGTCACTACACACGCGTACATAGGCTGCGTTAGTACAATTTGACATTAGATTCACGCATGCGCGTAACATAAGCCGTTTTCTTTCCGTGGTATATTTGGATTGCTCTATCTAGGTGTAAATCAAAGGGCTGACTGAATTATCGTATTCAAATCATGTATATTCTTTATATTTTTTGGATGATGCTCATCAACATCCATTTACATATTTATTTACATTAACATAATCTTAATTATTTTATCCGGTTGGAATTTTTTTCTTTCCAATAAAGCAAATTTTTATTAAATATAAAATGTTATTTAAACTATTTGTTTTGTTTTACAGCGGGCGTTCTGTGCCTTCTGCCAAGACCGCATCTGGGGTCTGGGCAGGCAGGGCTTCAAGTGCATCCAGTGCAAGCTGCTGGTGCACAAGAAGTGCCACAAGCTGGTGCAGAAGCCGTGCTCCAACGAGCACGTGGACCCGGTCGAGGTCAAGGATGATGCCAACGGCGAGACGACGCTCGGACGCGCATCTTCCGTCAGGTGTGTATACAATCTTTTACTCCGCGGCACCGCACATCGGGGGGAGTCCGGAAACGGAAAATCACCTTGCGGATGCGCGGTCAGGCGGACAGGGTACCACACATCACCCGCACTCCCGACGCGCATTGAGAGGACTGCGGTCCTCAGAATGCGAAGTGACCGGTGCAGGAGTATTGGCTGGTCTTTAGTGGCCCTGTTCAGGGCGTAGGTAGGACACTGTTCATATCAACGAGCCCCAGGGCTGGCCGAAATGAGCAGAACTGTAATAGGGCCGCCATACTGCTCCTTGCGCTGCCGCGGTTTTTTTTTATTTATTAAAAACATATAGGCTAGTTGTCATGTCAAATTGTGCTATACAAATCTATATTTCTTATAATTTTTGGTATGAGGAACATAAAATTAGAAGATGGCTGTAGTAATTAAACCACAACTTTTCTGGAGTCTTTAACGATGTGTTTTTCCAATGTCGTATAATAAAACCATGATAATTACTATATTTTTTATGTAATCTATTAGAAATCATGGTTTTATAATAAAAACTCAGATAGGTTATTTTCTACGTGCTTGCGAGTGTTTGTTTACAAATGTTTTGACGTCATAGCGTAGATAAATCTAGACTAAAATATCTAATAGACTAAAATGCCCGACCGAGTTAATGCTTTTGCTATACGATGAACGAAGTAATTGGGGCAACGTGCGCGTTATGCATTTTTAGTATGGCCAATTATATCAATGTCATACAAAGAAAAAAAACGACAAAATAGGGATCAGTGGGCAATACGAGGAGCATGACGTGCGGCATGAAGAGTAATGTTGCCACACTACGTCCCTGCCTCCTTTTCTCGCTATTTCCCACACCACTCGTCGAGTGAGTGGCGAATTCGCAGCGCAAACTGATATTCGCATTTTTACAATTGTTTCCTATATTTTGACACAATTTTTGTTCCGCTTGCAGTGCTCGAAAAAGTTGAAATTTGTCCGAAATACAATTTCATTAAGACAGTCTTCTTATGGTTACAGATCGCGTGCGGAACCTGAGCTGCCTCTACCGGAAACGCCGCCGGCGCCAGCCGCCAGTCTTGTGCCTCGCGAAGACTTGGAACCAGGCTCGCAGCGCCAGTACTCGCTCGAAGACTTCGAGCTTATCAGGGTCATCGGCAGAGGATCCTACGCTAAGGTCAGTATAGGCCGACTATCTTGGTGCCGCATGATCCCTTATGAGCGTGCTCTTAAAATCAACATTCGATGTATTGTGAATTTGAAGTTTCATATCCAAAATACCTATGAAGAACTAGTTCCTAAACATCAAACACATCCTTCTGTACGGCTTTAAAAACTTTGTAAATTAAATTTCGAAGAACTTAGAGATCGTGTAATCTTAAACTGAACGCCCCTCCATTGTCTTACTCTTACATCCACAATCAGTCTACAGATGGATACAACACACTCAAATTAGCTCTAGTCATTGGTCATTCAGTTGATTCAGTCACGAACGAACACGAAAGTGGCAGCACGCGGCGCGGTCGGTCACTCATAAAAATACCAAAAAAGTGTGAAATGTCGTTCAGTTTTAGATTAGACGATATCTACCTGTGCTCTTTTTTCTATAATCCAATTCAAATTTTATTTATAACAGATCTACACAATCAACCTCACCAATTAACATCTAGGTCATCGTCTTTGGAAATTCTTGAGTACATTAGAGTAATCTTATTTACCTATTCTCGTAAATCAATCTTGCAGGTGCTAATGGTGGAATTGAAGCGCACGAAGCGCGTGTACGCGATGAAAGTGATCAAGAAGGCCCTAGTGACGGACGACGAAGACATCGACTGGGTTCAGACTGAGAAGCATGTTTTCGAAACTGCTTCCAACCACCCCTTCCTTGTGGGGCTGCATTCCTGCTTCCAGACGCCCAGCCGGCTGTTCTTCGTCATCGAGTTTGTTAGAGGAGGAGATCTTATGTGAGTTTAGTCTTAGACTGGATGTATACTGAGAAACTCGTATTCCAAAGACTGCGGTGCGTCTTTGCAATGCAATGATTTCAACGCAGTGAATGCCACACATGCGCTGCGTCAACGCAGCTCTCCCCACGTCGCAGATAGTAAAATAATCTAAGTCAGATAGTAAAATATCTTCCGCACTAATTTTGGCAATAATTTAAATGCAACAATAATTGTCACCTTCGTATGCTATTACCATACCATACTGTTACTGCGCTGCCGCTACATCATTTCAACGCAGCTCCCTTCCTCACCTCGTCTTCTTTCTCTCCTTCTGCTTCCATCGTTTCAACGCATCCTGTGACATGTCGTTCAGATTTATATGTAGAATGACGTAGCGTCACCGCGCAGTCGATGCAGCGCTAACACAAAGCACAGACAGCGCCAGTGTGGCCTTTTTTGGTGAGGCTGCATTCTTGCTTCCACTCGCCCAGCGCGCTGTTCTTCGTCATCAAATTCGTTAGAGGAGTGGATCTTATATGAGTTTAGTCTTAGACTGGACGTAAACACAGAAGCATGTGTTCGAGATCACGTCCAACCACCCCTTCCTGGTGGGGCTGACTCCTGCTTCCAGACGCCGGCTGTTCTTCGTCATCGAGTTTGTTAGAGGAAGAGATCTTATGTGAGTTTTATACAGGTAAAGGATACGCTCCTTCTTCCTCCTTACGATAAAACTAATTCAAAATTCGAACCCTAATTTACAGCACATTCCATACCAAAGCTTCGTCGCTCGGGTGTGGGAGAAACATTAGAGTAAATGTAGACTGGGAAGGGGGATTTTATGTGAGTGTTTGACTCACTTTGTGAGATGTAAACAGAGAAGCATTTCTTCCTGTTGGGGCTCCACTCCTGCTTACAAACACTCAGCCTGCTATACTGCGCCATTCACTTTCTTACAGGAGGGTTCTTATCTGAATTTGGTCTTAGACTGGATGTAGACTGAGAAGCATGTGTTCGGGATCGCCTCCAACCATCCCTACCCGATAGAGCTGCAATCCTACTTCCAGGCGGCCAGCCGGCTGTGTATAATATTTTCTCGATATATTTAGCTTCACCAAGCTCCCTTGAAGCCAATTTAGTCTTACTCTCTAAAGCTCTGGATTCCTAGGTAGGCAGTGCCGTCATATAACTCTAGGAAACCGCGCCATTTTGTTAACATGGACAACGTTCTAGTAAAATCATTTACCGCTGTATTGCTTCCGCTTTATGACTACTATTCAAGGAAATCAGGGCTATATGATTTCCAAAACTGGACGTCGTTGAATACGTCAACCCTAAGAATTCCTTGTCCAATATGTTTGTTTGCCTCCGTTTTACCAAAAAGGCATCAAGATCGGAGAAAATAAATTATATGTCTATTATTAATGCCTATATTCTATCTACAGGTTCCACATGCAACGGCAACGGCGATTACCCGAAGAACACGCGCGTTTCTACGCCGCCGAGATATCTCTAGCGCTTCACTTCTTACACGAACGTGGCGTAATCTATCGAGACCTGAAGCTAGACAACGTACTATTAGACCACGAGGGACACATCAAGCTAACCGACTACGGCATGTGCAAGGTATATGCGATGTGAAGGAGATATCGCTGATGTCACTTCCTGTGTCATCTACCAGCGTGCTCCTCGACCACGAGGGGCACGTCAAGCCAACCCACTACGGCATGTGCAAGGTATATGCGATGTGAATCAGATATCGCTGACGTCACTTCTTGTGCATCTACCAACGTGCTGCTCGACTACGAGTGGCACGTCAAGCAAACCGACTACGGCATGTGCAAGGTATATAAATATATGCGTTGTGAAGCTGATATCGCTGACGTCACTTCCTGCGTCATCTACCAACGTGCTGCTCGACCACGAGGGACTCGTCAAGCCAACCGACTACGGCATGGGCAAGGTATATGCGTTGTGAAGTAGATATCGCTGACGTCACTTCCTGTGTCATCTACCAACGTGCTGCTCGACCACGGGGCCCATGTCAAGCCAACCGTATACGGCATGTGCAAGGTATATACGTTGTGAAGCAGATATCGCTGTCGTCACTTCTGCACGAGCGCAGCGTCATCTATCTCGACTTATGTTTGGAAAATTTCGAGTTCGGCATAGATCAAAATGATTATAAGTATCTTATGGGCGTTGCACATGAACACAAAATATAAGCTCTACTTACAAATCAGAATGATAGCAACAAAATAAGTTTTTCCTTGTTTTTTCACTTCGGGTAGGCAAGAGGGGCGTCACAACCACCCGAGGTCTTGCCGTAATCTCTTACAAGAGCAAGGCCTCGAGTTTTCCAATAACTTAACAAGAAATAGATAGGAGAAGAAGAATAAGTATATGTATTTTTGGATTGTAACTTCTGCACGAGATTTAATGAGTTACCCGTCGTTTTTGAGGGGATTTGCAAAAGAAAAATCCATTGAAATAACTTCTGATCCACATAATTATTTTAAAGGAAATTATCCTCGCATAAACTATCTTGTGCGGTGTGGGTTATTCACGGGAGAAATGACGACAAAGAGTTCAGTATTAAATCAACCATTTAATGAATCTATTTAACATCTTATACTGAGTTTCCACTTAAGCTCAGTAGGCCTATTCGCTAACAACCTTGGAGAGGTGGAAGTGATAATCACCGAATAATTTAGTGATTCACTACTGCTTTATTATAACGCCACTCAGATCCTTGTTCTGAAAAGCATCGATAGATATGCAATTTTCCCTTTAGTTACATACTGTAAATGTCAAAAAACTTAGCGAATAGGCAAACATTTGCTTGCTCGGTAATTGGAAACATCAGAGCGAGCGAAAGAGTTCGTACAACGTTTGACTGAGAAGAATGAGATTGATGAGATGAATGAAAATAAATGAAATGAATGCTCTCTTGCTCAGTTATCAATGGAAATACGAAAAATTGTTTTGAACATTTTATTTATCGAGTGAACAAATATTTGCCCGCTCGAAACTGTTCTGAGCACTAGGTGGAAAGAAACGCAGCACAATTTACCTTTTCATGTTTGATTAATACGTAATCAGTACCGTTAGCACGATCCATTATCGAATTCGTACAGTTTGCGAGTCCGAAATGTCATGGTTAAAGTACTGATTTTTAGTTCTAATTACGTCCGTTGTGGCGAATAGACTACTACTATTACTTCTATAGTGGTTCGTGCTACTTGTACAGAACTTGATACCTAATAATTTTAGGAAATGTTATCAATACGTAGAAAGACATGATTTGCACATCACCATAACCTATATCATTTTTTTCCTTTTGTGTTTTTCAGGAGGGCGTTCGCCCCGGCGACACGACGTCCACATTCTGCGGCACGCCCAACTACATAGCGCCGGAGATCCTGCGCGGCGAGGAGTACGGCTTCTCCGTGGACTGGTGGGCTCTCGGAGTACTCACCTACGAGATGCTGGCCGGCCGCTCGCCCTTCGACATCGCGCAGGCGGCCGACAACCCCGACCAGAACACGGAGGACTATCTGTTCCAAGTGAGTCTTGTTACCTTAGAAGGTAACCCTCAGGATCTCTTATCCGTGAACTGGTAGTCTCTCGGAGTACTCGCATACGAGATGCTGGCCGGCCGCTCGCCCTTCGACATCGCGCAGGCGGCCGACAACCCCGACCAGAACACGGAGGACTATCTGTTCCAAGTGAGTCTAGCTACCTAAGAAGATAACCCTCAGGATCTCCTCTCCGTGAACTGGTAGTCTCTCGGAGTACTCACCTACGAGATGCTGGCCGGCCGCTCGCCCTTCGACATCGCGCAGGCGGCCGACAACCCCGACCAGAACACGGAGGACTATCTGTTCCAAGTGAGTCTTGTTACCTTAGAAGGTAACCCTCAGGATCTCTTCTCCGTGGACTGGTGGGCTCTCGGAGTACTCGCCTACGAGATGCTGGCCGGCCGCTCGCCCTTCGACATCGTGTAAGCGGCCGACAACCCCGACCAGAACACGGAGGACTATCTGTTCCAAGTGAGTCTTGTTACCTTAGAAGGTAACCCTCAGGATCTCTTCTCCGTGAACTGGTAGTCTCTCGGAGTACTCACCTACGAGATGCTGGCCGGCCGCTCGCCCTTCGACATCGCGCAGGCGGCCGACAACCCGACCAGAACACGGAGGACTATCTGTTCCAAGTGAGTCTAGCTACCTAAGAAGATAACCCTCAGGATCTCTTCTCCGTGAACTGGTAGTCTCTCGGAGTACTCGCATACGAGATGCTGGCCGGCCGCTCGCCCTTCGACATCGCGCAGGCGGCCGACAACCCCGACCAGAACACGGAGGACTATCTGTTCCAAGTGAGTCTGGCTCCCTTGGAAGATAACCCTCAGGATCCCTTCTCCGTGAACTGGTGGGCTCTCGGAGTACTCAACTACGAGATGCTGGCCGGCCGCTCGCCCTTCGAATTCGCGCAGGCGGCCGATAACCCCGACCAGAACACGGAGGACTATCTGTTCCAAGAACATGACACTGGGCACACAATTACCCAACCAGAACACGGAGGACTACCTGTTCCAAGTACGTGGCACTGGGTACTCAATAACCCGACAAGAACACGGAGGAGTACCTGTTCCAAGTACGTGCTCTGTATATACTATATCCCGACCAGAATACAGAAGACTACCTGTTCCAAAAACGTGGCACTGGGCACAATAACCCCACCAGAACACGGAGGACTACCTGTTCCAAGAACGTGGCATTGGGCACACTGTAACCCGACCAGAACACGGAGGACTACCTGTTCCAAGAACGTGGCACTGGGCACACTGTAACCCGACCAGAACACGGAGGACTACCTGTTCCAAGAACGTGGCATTGGGCACACTGTAACCCGACCAGAACACGGAGGACTACCTGTTCCAAGAACGTGGCACTGGGCACACTGTAACCCGACCAGAACACGGAGGACTACCTGTTCCAAGAACGTGGCATTGGGCACACTGTAACCCGACCAGGACACGGAGGACTACCTGTTCCAAGAACGTGGCACTGGGCACACTATAACGCCACCAGAACACGGAAGACTACCTGTTCCAAGATCGTGGCACTGGGTACACTATAACCCCACCAGAACACGGAGGACTACCTGTTCCAAGATCGTGGCACTGGGTACACTATAACCCCACCAGAACACGGAGGACTACCTGTTCCAAGAACGTGGCACTGGGCACACTATAACCCCACCAGAACACGGAAGACTACCTGTTCCAAGATCGTGGCACTGGGTACACTATAACCCCACCAGAACACGGAGGACTACCTGTTCCAAGAACGTGTCACTGGGCACACTATAACCCCACCAGAACACGGAGGACTACCTGTTCCAAGAACGTGGCACTGGATACACTCTAACCCGACCAGAACATGGAGGGGACATTATATTATATTATTTATATATTCTGCGGCACCCCACCTTCATAGCGTCGGAGATCCTGCGCGGCGAAGAGTATTCGTATATACAGTATCCAAAACCTACCTATTATTATTAAATAATTGTCTAGAGGTGCTCGATGACGCAAGTGATAACTTTCGCTAAGACCAGTCACTGGATGGATAACCAAAAATGATTGCGAGTTCGTTTGCACTTCGGAAGGCCCGTTAAGCCATTGGTTAGTCCCAGCTGCATCTGCAGTCGTTAGCACCTAGCAATTTTGTCCTGAAGCCGCGCGTGGTGAGTCACGGCCCAAACTCCCTATTCTATCCATAGGGAAGGCTTGTGCTCCAGCTGTGGGGTGGGGATATTAATAGACTGATGATGAGTTATGATGGAATTTTACGGCCTTATAATTGCTTTGTTGATAATGGTTTTGCATTATCACGTTACCCAGGTGATTGCAGAGAATACGATCCGTATTCTAAACACTTGTGATGTGTATTATATTATTTTTGACGACCTCCGTGGCCGAGTGGTTTATACGCTGGGTTTCATGGTATCGCCGACTCGAGAGGTCCCGGGATCGAATCCCGGTTGGAGCAGATGTTTGCGTGATGAATACGAGCATTTGTACTCTAGTCATGGATGCTTCATATGTATTTCTATTTAAATATACTTATATATGTACAATATATGTATTCTATCCGTTACCCTAGTATCCCATAACACAGGGCATTACAGTGCCTTACTTAGGGGCTAGGCTAATTGGAGTGTGTTGGAAATTTTTACTTTTTTTAAAATTTTATTTAATATTAATTTAATGTTGTATTTACTTACATTTTTCAATTATGTCTTGACTTCCTTACTGCTTTATAGTATTCTGAGTTTATTGTACTACTAACCCACATTTTGACGACCTCCGTGGCCGAGTGGTTTGTACGCCGGGTTTCATGGTGTTGCCAACTCGAGAGGTCCCGGGTTCGAATCCCGGTGGGGGCAGATGTTTGTGTGATGAATACGAGCATTTGTACTCCAGTCATGGATGTTTAATATGTATTTCTATATAAAAATACTTATATATGTACAGTATATGTATTCTATCCGTTACCCTAGTATCCCATAACACAAGCCTTACAGTGCTTACTTTGGGGCTAGGCTAATTGGTGTGAGTGTTGGAAATATTTATTATTATTATTATTATTATTTTATCAGTAAATTTGGTAATGGTTTTGCATTGATTTCCGCAGGTGATTCTAGAGAAGACGATTCGTATCCCCCGTTCGTTGTCCGTAAAGGCAGCGTCGGTGCTGAAGGGGTTCCTCAACAAGAACCCCGCCGAGAGGCTCGGCTGCGGGGAGAACGGGTTCATGGACATCGTCAGCCATCCCTTCTTCAAGAGTATCGAGTGGGAGATGGTGAGTTAACTACTTACATGTTTTTTTGTTTTTAGGGTTCCGTAGCCAAATCGCAAAAAACGGAACCCTTATGGATTCGTCATGTCTGTCTGTCTGTCCGTCCGTATGTCACAGCCACTTTTTCCCAAAATATAACAACTATACTGTTGAAACTCGGTAAATAGATGTATTTTGTGAACCACACTAAGATTTCACACAAAAATAGAAAAAAAAAAACAATAAATTTTGGGGGTTCCCCATACTTAGAACTGAAACTCAAAAAAATCTTTTCTTCAAACCAATACCGTGTGAGGTATCTATGAATAGGTCTTCAAAAATTATATTGAGGTTTCTAATATCATTTTATTCTAAACTGAATAGTTTGTGCGAGAGACACATCCAAAGTGGTAAAATGTGGCAACTGTCGCAACTGTCGACAGCTCGGTCAAATGGTAGCTTCAAGCCGTTGACACTAACTGGTCGAGCCAACGATATTAAATACCCCACATAAAGGTACATTGGACGATCAACGGATCTCCGTAAGATGATCGCGTAGTCAAAAACAATTTAAGGCATTATTTAAACAGTTCATCACTGGCTAACTGCTCGAGCAGTCCGTCTATGGCTGCTCTTATGGCTATAGGTACAAACAAGTTCTATGTGTTATTTACTAAAGATTCGCCAAACATTCCGTTTTGCAGTTGGAGCAGAAACAAGTGGTGCCTCCGTTCAAGCCGCGGCTGGAGGGCGAGAGAGACCTCGCCAACTTCCCGCCCGAATTCACCGACGAGCCCGTGCATCTCACACCGGATAACGAGTAATATGGCTATTTGATTTGCGCCTAAAGTTTGCACGCACATAGCTCATTAAATGAAACACGTTTAAACGGGTTCAAAATGCGTATGTTTTTTTAAGTTATAAGGAGACGCATTTTGAATTACTTTCGTTAGCGTGTTTTGATTACTCTTTAAAAAAACAGTAAGAAAAGGACGCATGTTGGATTACTTGTATCTGCGTCATTTGATTACTCTTTAAAAAAAGTTATAGAAAGACGCATTTTTGGATTACTTTCGTCTGGTGCTGAGTCTTTAGATTACTCTTTAAAAAAGTAATAAAAAAAATATTTTGAATTACTTTCGCCTGCGGCTGCGTCGTTCGATTACTCTTTAAATAAAGTTATAAGAAGACGCATTTTGAATTACTTTAGTCTGCGTCTTTTGATTACTCTTTAAAAAAACAGTAAGAAAAGTACGCATTTTGGATTACTTTCGCCTGCGGCTGCGTCGTTTGATTACTCTTTAAATTAAGTAATAAAAAGACGCATTTTGAACCCGTTTAAGCGTGTTTCATGTAATGAGTAATATGCCTTATTTATATTGCCATAAAAAGTTGTTTTATAGTGACATGTACCCTATTTGCATAGTGATAGAGGTGTTATTACCGTGACTTCAAATCGATCAACACCTAAGTGTTCATTTTGTCGAGCTCAATTCGAAGAGAGTGAATACACACATAGTACATGTCACACCCGATAATTTTACAATGACTTTTGTTGATTTTACAATGAATGTCACTGTAAAATCAACTCTATCACTATGTATATAACAATAATTATTTGTTCTTGTCGATCGTTCTTATCGAGCTTAGTTTGAAGGGATTACCACCGACCTCAACCACAAAACGCCGCCACCGGCTTATTCTTGTAGTTTTCATACATTTTATATGGACTCACCACACACGGTACGCCGGTGGCCGCCACACGCTACAAATCGTCGTTGCTCGTTTCTTGTGGCCCGCGCCGGCCGCGCTCGCGCGATTCCCCACCCCTCTCTCCCTTTCCTTAGTTGGCCGCTGTCGCGCGCTTCAGCTACTTTAGTAGCCGCTTCTAGCTTCTCGTGGCGGCGTTTGTGGCGTGTGGCCCGTGTGCGGCGACACTTATATTACCCGTGCATCCCATGTCCGATAAGGAGTAACATACCATACTTATTCTTCTTCATGAAGTTTTCCACTGGCTGAAATGAGAAGGGAGGAATCCCAGATACCATCTTCTCGCTCCCCCGGTAGTTAAAGGGTGCGTAAGGCATTTCCCAGACATAAAAAAGGGACTTTAATAGCTTAAACTGAATAAGCGATTTTGAATTTACAGTACGGTGATAGCTGACATTGACCAATCGGAGTTCGAGGGCTTCGAGTACGTGAACCCGCTGCTGATGTCGCTCGAGGACTGCGTGTGACAACACGCCTGCCTGCTGCACCCACACCGGCCCGTGCAGGTCAATATACTAACATATACAGGGTGTTACAAAAATACAAATAAAGCTTGAGGGGCGTTGAAGTACATCACATAACGAGTCTTATCTATTTTCTTAAAATATTGGCAAGAAGTTTTAACTCATGTTTAATGATTAATAAAAATATCGAGCATTTTAAGACACGTCACTAGTTCGAGGAGCATTAAAAATAACTGTTTTTTAAAAAGTTAAAACTTCATGCAAATATTTTAAGAAAATTAGAGAACTCGTTATATGATGTACTTCAACACCCTTCAAGCTTTATTTGTATTTTTGTAACACCCTATCCCAGCGAACTTAGTACCGTCATAAAAAAATAGGGGTTGGTGGTAGAAGGGTGAAAATTTAGGGTTGTATGTATTTTTGTATGATGTATCATAAAAAAAATAAAAACAATAGGTTATTTTCTGAAATAGGTAAGCCTATTTTTTGTACAAATCGGTGCTGGACAAGAAAAAATTGCGAGGTTTTACCATTTTTTTAGCTTCATTTCCTGGACTATAGCAACAATTTGACATTCTTAGTGAATAACGGTCCCGCAACCGCGACGGGCGCAGAAGAAAACCGCGCTGTGAGTTCTTAGTGTTCTATTTACTAACAATAATGTTTCTATATCTGTATATATGTTAGACTATAAGGTATTTATCTATGGGCCTATGTAGCTTGATCATAAATAAATAAATAATAATAATAAATAATAATCGCCCATCATGGGCCATTGCGAAGAGGCACCTTAACGTGTATCTATTGATCGTTGGCAGGCATACGCGTGCGGCGAGTCGTCGTCGTCGGACTACGACTCGGTGTGCTCGGAGCCGCCGCGCCGCCACACGCTGCTGCAGCACGTGCTCTGCCTGCCGCTGCCCGCGCACCACCGCGACTAGCGCCTGCCCCACGCCTCCGGCTCCGGCTCCGGCTCCCACTGCCAGGCCAGTGACCCCGTGCAACCTTCTTTTGTTTCAACAACACAACACTCGGGCACTGAGGCCAGTGACCCCGAGCAACCGTCTTTTGTTTCTATAATATCTGGCTCGGTACCGCACGCAACCGCTCCTGCTGCTGCCGGTGACGCGTCTCAAGAGGCGAGCGACCTTCCGCGAACATCTTTTGTTGCAATAAAACAGCACGCGACTCGAGAGGCTAGTGAATCCGAGCAATCGTCTTTTGTTTCAATGGCACACCACGCGTCTCCTACTCTCGTCGGATGCGAGGCCAGCGACCCCGCGACACCGTCATTTGTTTCTGTACCCTCTGTAATAAAACAGCACGCGTCTACTCTCGCCGGCAGCGAGGCAAGATACTCTGCGCAACCGTCATTTGTTTCCAATATATCTGAATCACTCGTGTCCACTCAAGGTGGATCCGAGACCAGTGACCCTATGAAACCGCTATCTAACTATAATGTTTCTGCAGTGGTATCTTACAAAGCTATTGCTGGAATTGAAACAGACAACACATCGCCTATTACACCCTCTATTCTTAATGGACCCGATGAAAAAAATACTTCTGTTATAGCTCTTCTTGATTCAGATAAATGTAGCAATGTTACTTCTTCCACACCAGCTAACCCTCATACAAACAATGTCGATCCACCTCAACGTGGAGTCGAAAGCATAAACGCAGTTAAAGATAAATTCGGAAATAAAAACAATGCGCCTGGCGACTTCATTGGACCTGAACCTGATAATGCACCGCTGACGTCTATAGTCCATAGTATTTCGCACACTTTAGCTACGCTCTGTGTATACGATACTAAAATTGAAGGAAATGACATTAGCGGCAACACTTTTCCCTTATCCCCTACTCTGACAATTCTTGAAGTAAACACCACAACTCCATCGCCCTCTAGAAGTAACACTGTTGCATCAGCCAATTCTCAAAAGAGCAGTAGTAAGCAAGTTATTACAGTTGAAGGTAAAACAGCGGATACAATTCAGAAACACCCTAAAAATGTACCCTCTGTACTGTTCAATAACCTATCAAATGCGCTGCGAACGAAAAATGAAATGAGCGTGGAGCCTCAACTTTCTCCACTGGCGCCCTCTATCGTACAACAATCCTTAAACTCGCCTTCTCGCATCCGTAAAACTAGTCTGACTTCCTCGCCAAACAAAAGGCAATCAAATAAATTCGCGAAACCTCCGTATACAGCAGCGTTTTCTGTCAACTCAGTAGCTAGCCCAAACTCCATTAATTTGAAAGATACTATCAATAGTTCTGTTAAATGCACTTGCGATTTAACATACACGCGTAAAACTTCTCGTTCGAAGCTTAGCAAAAAAGAATGTAGCACAACAGCGCCATCTACAACTCGCGAGAATGGTCCACTAGAGTCTATTCATGAGTATGTCAACGTTAAATGTGTAAATGAAAATGGCTTTGCAGTTTTAATAACGAGTGAAAGCGACATGCCGTCTTTGGGTTTGCGTAATACTTTAGGGCCTTTTTTGAACAACGAGAATGATAAAACGACATCACCAAAGCAAAGTGCACATTCGCCTTCTGTAAAGAGGCACCGTAACACATCGGAAACGCGTAAACCTTATTCAGCGCTTCCTGTACAGCCCGTTACATTGTCGCCCTCAAAATCGAGTGATTGCAAAACAAAAAGAACTTTATCGCCAAATAACTACTTCATAGATTCATCTACATTCGAGCGAGAACGTGAAATGCTATTTTCTCCTAAAATGTGTCACGAGTACGAAGCTACAACAAACGCGGTGCGATCACAAAATATACGAGAACATTCAGCATTAGATGATCGGGAAGATGTGACATTGTCGGCGTTATTACAATAATTTGGGGCTGTCACTGTCAACTAATGGAACGTAAATGTACGAGTTGTTACTGCAATTAAAAGTGTTGTGTAAAATCGGCCCTACTTAAATTCATATATCTGTTCCTTGCATTTGTCAGCAATCTTCAATTTCAGCAAAACTTGTGCGTTTTCACTATTTTCCCGATTTCGATAACAGAGGGCGCATCTAAAGGGCTGTTTTAGATGCGCCCTCTGTTATCGAAATAAATAGCAAACTTTTGAAAAATATAGAGAACGAAAAATACACTTAATTCGTTTGTATGTGTGTGAGTGGGGGCAGTATCACTACATCTAAACATACAATGTACTTTTATACCTTTTCGAGTTACAATGCTGTTTTAAATTTCATATGGGTCACTGAGAATTTTAGTTATTAACTAAAATCATTGTAAACACAGTAACACGAACTTTTGTAATATATTGTATGTATGTTAGTATTATTATTTCATTTATATTATGACACTTTAATTATGGTACCCACCTAAAGTTTAGTCAAAGAGGCGGAGATGGAGGTCGAATGTATGTACTTATAAAAACAATCTAAAGCAACAAAACAAACTATATTATAAAGAAAAATCCAAAGAAATCAAATATCATCATCACAATTTATGTTCATTTAATCTATCTACACTGTTCACATTAAAAATACATACACATGTCAAATGTGTAAGCATTTTTATACGTGACTATATTCATTGATATTCATCAGTCACAGTAAACACGGATATTTTTTCTTAACAAGTGTAAATATTTACACTGTGAGATAATATAATTGGCTTCCAATTTTTATAAAACATTATGGATACCTAGTTAAGTATTTAAGTGGTGCTTTATTGCTGATTTTGTGTCTGTTTAATCTTTTATTAATGAATAATATTAAAGTTGTTATTAACTTATTATTACTTGAATAATGCACTGATGACTTTTATCATGTAGTTGAACTTTCATGGGCACTATTCTCATTATGATTAGAAACTTATTTTGCACACCAATATTTTAAAATCAAATTTAAGGCTAAATCCATAAAACTTCCATCTATTTGTGTCTACTGTTTGAAGTAAATAGAATGTGGTTTTAACGTGATTTTTCTTTTAAATTTAATTTAATAATTTTGTAGCAAGTGGGCCTAGGGCCTAGGATTCTGAACTAGCAATTAACCTCCTAAATGTCATTTCTAAATTATTCAAAATATGCATTTTCGCGTGTAAAAATATAAACAGTTAAAATTATTTCATTATAAAGATACATTTAATTAATTTTAGTTTCATTTTCAGTTTATTTACAACTTGCATTTTTACCCTTCCTTTGCAAGCGAATCTGCAACTCATTTAATTGACTCAAATCATGGAATTGAAATGTGTATGGTCGCATATTTTTAAATAACCAAGTTTGGTGCTCGGTTAGTTATGCTTCATAAAAAATATTGCTTCTATATTAAGGCATGCAAGAGATGGTGGAGACAGCATTCATTAAAATTATCAATCACGGAGGCGAATCCTTAAAAAAATTAAAACGCTTCTTGTACAGAAAACATACAAAGTTTAATATTATATGTACTATACGAGATAAGACTTAATATTTTTGAAACTATTGTAGTGTCTATTTATCCTTTCTTTGAGAAAGGTCGAGTTAGTAATGTTGGTGTGTGTTGAGTAATTTTACTCGAGTTAAATCGCCCTACCTCGACCAGCGTCGGCTGATCGGCAATATAGAACTGTAATACAACTGTCTAAAGTTCATTATACTGTGCATTGAACTGTAGACTGATGTCATATAGTATTTTATAATGCTTTTGATGAAGTGTCAAAGCCTTACGCGGTAAGAAATTAGAACGCCCAAAAACGCCTTTTCAAGTCCTACGAGAATGGGGCAGGGATATGCATACCTACTATTGAACTGTCATTATTATTTTGAGCAATAAATATTATCGTAGTTGTATTTATGTGGATACCGAGACAGGTTCTCTTGTCGAGAAGGCACGTAAGGAATTAAATGTAGAACTTTTGCGGCCCAGGGGCCCAAAGAGCGTATGGCTCTTATCCAAATTAGTGTATCCCCTAGACGCCTAGACTTAAGCTAGTTTCGTAGCCTTGGTATTTTGTTCGCGTGCCGTTTGCATCGACTGTTTGTTTTAAAATGTACAAATCAAATTTTATCGCAGACTTTATTTTAACTTTTGAATATCTGCAAATGGCACGCGCATATATGCCACTTATAATACATTTCTTGGCATAAAATACTGCTTGTTATCATTCATATAGTTTTGATTGGAACAAAAAATAATTACAAACATGTTTTATTATAATTTAAAAATTAATAAATGTCTATTGTAGGTACGCAGTTTTTATGCCACCAAGTGTAAGTATATTCCATTCCCTATAGTAGATCCTGTTGTACTTTATAGCTAACACCACTCGTTTAGGTAGCCAACGAATTGTATAATAAAGAAAAAATATAATATTGAGCACTGAAACAAATTTTAAAATCGTGTACATTATATAACAAATAACCCTTAAAAAATACATCGGTTATAAAGTATTATTATAACAGAAAATTTTATTGTTAAAATGTAGAAAAAACAAAGACTTATTATATGAAGAGATAGTTAACTTGGTGTGTCGATGGTGCGCGGGCGCCGACTGAGCTCAAGTGTCCACAAACTATTCTAAATAGTGTGTAGTACCTTATCTTAGACATTTTGCACCGATATTATAGTGTTTACACTCTCGCGTCGGCTCCGCTCGATACCTATCCAACATGTGATTCTATACGATCCGATTTAAGAGTCACTTTAATAGCGACTATTCGAAAATGTACTCTGTCGTTAAACTGTTGAGGTCTAAAATCGCTAGTACATTTTGGAATGAATTTATTATAGGCATGAATTTTACTTAATATATCCATGTTGTGGTTATACCCGATATTGTATTTTATTGATGTGTTGCTGATACGGAGTTAGGGGCGTGATTCGGTCGTTTCGGTTGACAAGCGAAAATAATCTTACGCTATGTGCAGTTGGGTTTGTTTTCGTTTGAAATATCAGTCAAGTTTTCCCAGAGATTATAGAGTATTCTAAATACTTTAAGTTGTGTTGTGGCGGCGTTTCGCGGCGTGGGACCGTTTCCTGCACGCATAGCATTACTTTGTATTATTTTAATTAATTATTTATATTGTAAGCGACAGTATTTTGGTACTATTTACGCTTTAGGTGTCTTAAGTTAACATTCCACAATCATGTGAGCATATAGTTGTGTTGTTAGCTAGTTGCCGATTTTTTAGAACTCCTTGCTCGTATTCTCTTTTGAACGTATGTGCGTCATAATTGACTGAATATACAACACCTAAATTTTGCAGTCTAAAACGATAAGGTAATGCGTCAGAGTGGATCTGGCGATAGAAAACAAATTTTAACGTTTAACATGAGGCAATGTTCTAGAAAGATGTAACTGCTGGTCAGAATTTATACAAAAATAATCCTAGAGGGATTTTTAAAATCGGCAACTTGCTTTCATCATAGCGTAAGACTCGTTACGAACGAAACTTTAAGTATTTTCATTGTAATATACATTATAAACTGTTTTATATTACCATACATTTAAATCATTGTAACAGCATGACATGTGAGAAATAAAATATATTATTTTACTACTTAATAGAATAAAGAGGAATTGTTATACTCTCGCCCACTATAGAAGAAATTATGTTAAAAATATTTTTATTTAAGCACTTTTTGATTACGTTGCATAATTATAATATACAGAACCAAAATTGTGTTGATTCATTTTGAAGTGACGTTGATTTGTATACACAGTATAGTAGAGAAATCAGTATGTTAAATATTTCGTTGTGATGGCTTGCTGCGTGAATGCGACTCTTGTCTATAAATTGACTGGGTGATCTTGGAATACTGTACTATTCTATGCTTAACTGAAAATAAAGAAAGATTAATCCGATTCTGTTTTCTATCATTTCTCTCTTATAAAGTTTCTCCCTATCTTTGTGTCATTATTTCAAAACTGCGCCCTCACTTCGCCTTCCTTCCGTGAAAAATTAACTTATGGTAATTAAAACCGCGCGACCGCAGATTGAATTTATTTTATACTTTGTAAGATCTCCTCTTCTTAACAATAAATTTGGGAATAACATCGTCTTCATATATTAATAAAGGCGATTTTCGTAGTGCAAATAAATCTGACTGACACCGCACCGAAACCCATTTATTAACCCTCTTTTAGTTTAGAACTTGAAAAAAAAAGGTTTTCCTTATCCTTTGGTTTGGTTTCGTTATCAGTCATGTAGAAAGAATAAGTAAATAAAATATAAAACTGATTTTATAAAAGTTTATTGCAACATAAATACACATGTTTATTATACAGTAACATCAGTACATGCACAATTTCTCCTTGGTTCCTAATGGACCACTAAATCCATCAACCTATAAGTGTGGTTGGAAATTTAATTCCTACTATTTAATTATTTTATTATACCCCTGCCCATACGAACAGACGGCTCATCTGATGGTACAGGTCGCGGCACATAACTCTAGCGCTGAACAAAACGCGTCAGGGATAGCTGAGCATGGGTACGACGGGAGAGCCAATCGGCGCAACGCACGCCCCATATACACATCTATATGCCCCACATATAACTAACATGGAGGAAATGAACACTCGCCTCCTCCAGAGATGGCGCTACCGGCGCTGCGTTCACAACGTAAGGAAGCCTACATCGCGCAAGTGAAACTTGGCAGCCAACAGTTCATATATACGATGCCCGACCTACATCAATCGGGCCGCGGCCCCCGAACTACCACCACCCAGCTCGGAGGAAGATCTTGCCCTTTGGCCTTCCTACACCCCCCAACACATCTTAATTTTTACTTCTACGCAATAACGGTCATCGCTAGAGTTTCGTGCCGCGACTTAGTGATCACCGCTACCAATAGACACTGCAACACCAGGAGTATCGGAAATGCGATGCCGGCCTCTATGGAAGGTACTCGCTTTTTTTTAAGGTTTTTGGGCCGTATTGTTAGTAGGTCACATGATGTCATCTGAATGGTCAAATAGGAATTTGTTCTTAACATGGAGGATTAAGAGGTCTGTTAGTAACAAAGGTAATTTCATTATTTAGGAAAACGCTATTTTGGATAAAACATTTCAATTATTATGCAAGTCAGTTAAATAAAACCGGCACATTCTATACAGTTTTATGATATAAAATAAGTTAATTCAGATAGGTGAATATCAAAATTTCCGCTCGTTGTCGGAGCGGCCGCATTACAAAATAACAAACAGCATGCAGAAGGCTGAAATTGCAACAACAGTTTTACAAACTAGGCTATTTTTACTATGTTTTGGCAGATCGGGGATATATTGTCTCTTATTGAAATCGTAATAAGACTGTTAATCTTTTAAAAAGGGGTTCATTTTTACACGCGGTTACTCAACTCATTATTTTTTATAGCACAGTGTGACCTAAACCCGCACTTTACGCACGCTTTTCCGTGACCTAAGTTGCCTCTTTCTGCACGGTGTGTAAATGAATTGACCAACTTCACTCATGTAGAATTAGTACATTACGATACGCGTAACTTAACTTTACTATGCCAATCAAGGAATAAACGTTCATGGATACATTGAAATTCTATTTTGTTGTAATGATATTTGATTTTTTCCTTTTGAAATATACTTTCAAAATGGTAATGTAGACCGGAATTCTTTCTTTTCAGAGTTTGACTTGCAGTCTGTATTGCAATTCTTTGTGATTGCAATACATGAATTTTACTTTCAAAACACTAATCGCATCCCTCGGGGAATCCCTCCCTTCCCCCGAACCCCCCCCCCCCCCTCTTGCCCGCGTCCGGGGCGGGTTTATGTCACACTTGCTAAAAAATAGTATACGATACTTGTGGCCTAAGTTGTCTATTACTGCACGGCGTTTAGCACCCTCGCTCCGCTCGGGCGCTACCTTCACGCCGTGCAGTAATAGGCAACTTAGGTCACGCGTATCGTAATGTACTATTGTTTTATTTCATGAATCGTGTGCTTTTAAGCCGTGCCGTTTTTTAGTTAACTGACCCGTACAGTGAATGACGTCATATATACTATATTAATTACAACTCAATATCCTTACTAATTATTACAGCCAGACATAGATCACATTGACAATTGCTTAATAAATGTTGCTGAATAAATGCTTTCAACTTCTATTCTTTTAAAATAAATATAAAAAAAAAGATTCACATTGTAATAAAAACATAAACAAATCTCTTTACTTGACACTTGCAATACAGAGAACAGAAAAAAAACTGTCAATGCTTACTCTATTCAAATACGAAGCAATACTGATGATAAGTAATAAATATATATTGTGATGTCATTAACTAGTTATGTTATTCCGTGCACAGTATACAAGCCCTACACCAGGGTATTTTTTTTAGTGCAGAGCGAGCACTGTGAGAGCTTTCAATAAGTATAATGTATAACCCGTATCATTAAAGAAAGGAAAGCAAATTTCGGCGTAAAATATTCTGTCCCTCTTGCACATGCTATTCTAATTAACGTTCCAGAGGGACAGGATGTCTTGCTTTGATTGCAATTCCTTATTTTATTGACACTAGTTTTAACCATAGAAGTATAAGAACAGAGTAGGGGAGATGTAGACTCTACTGCAAGTGGAGGTGTCCCTCCAATAGAAGGAGAAAGAAGATGAGAGACCGCTAGATTTCTCTCTAATTGCCCATACGCATTGGATGAAAAACCTATGGATGAATACCGACCAATCACACGACTGCGCAGCGTCACAAGAGAGAGAGAGAGATGGCTAGCGGTATCTCATCTTCTTTCTCTTTCTACTAGACGGACACTTTTAGAACCGCCTTCCCCACTCTATTCTTATACGTTTATGGTTATAAAACAAACTATTTATCTTACAGCGAACGATAATCAAGATATATTATTAAGAGTTCCCAAGATAAAACAACATTAAATAAATATATCTCTATTCCCTGTCACATCCTCTTTGCAGGACCATGCCGGATCATGCTCTAAAACTACGTTCAATGCCCGAGAATAAGGGCAAAATTGTAAATATTATTCCAAAATACAGATTCATTTTTAATTTATTTCATTGGTATCTTAAGATATTGATGGTCAGACAATTTAAGTCTGTTTAATACTACTACTACTACAGTTTTTTTCTTGATTTTACTTATATTTTCTCATTTAATGAAACACTTTTATGTTTAATGTGATAATAAGTATGATTAGGGTTATATACCTTTGATAAGTAGCACACAGTAAGAGTATTGTAATTCTACACTACACTATACAGACCAATCGTGCGACAAGGAGCGCCAAGTAAATTTCCGAGTAAGGCATTGTCCTAATACAACGCGATAACGCGATCATCGCGCGATTAAACGATGCGACCATCGCGTGATCGCGAACTGGGTGTCCTAATAGAACGCGAATACGGAACGGGTTAGTCCTGCCCCTCTCCCCGCTTCCTATCGACGCGACGCGATCATCGCGCGAACTTCAGTTAGGACACCTATTCATCATTAATAGGTTTGAATGCGCGTTCGCGTGAACTAAGTTCGCGCGAATAGATTTTTAAACATTTTAATCGCGCGAATGCATCGCGCGATCGCCTATTAGGACACCTATTCTAGATCAATATGTTTGATCGTCAAATCGTACAATGATCGCATCGCTCATTCGCGTTATCGCGTTGTATTAGGACAATGCCTAAAGATTTTATTAATTATATTACGTCCACAAAACTACATAATTAATTATTTTTCATTCCAGATAACATATAATAGTCCAGATAATAGTTCTTTTATATGTGCACATTTTCAACACATTGTGGTAATAAATGTTTAAATAAGCTTTTGTAAATTTATGCGTAAAATTTACTAGCACAGCCATTTAAACAGTAACATATATAACAAATAAACTAGATATTTATATTATAAAAATATATATATATTACTACATGATTTACCATTGTGGTTTGTACCACAAAAATGGCTGTGTTGAAGAACCCAAAGAGACAGAGGTTTGCAACCTGCTTTAAACGTTTAGATATAATGCGACCAAACTATAAGTAAGGGTTCATTATATGATTATTTAACGAACTAAAAATAGGAAGGCGAAATTGTGAAATTTTGATTTTACTTGATGGATCATAGGACACGCTTTGCTTGAAAATCATGACATTCTCTTTGATTTTTCGGTGATGCACATTACATATTACACGTGATTTTTAATCGTCTTTCGTTTTCTTATAGTTAATAGTTTTTTGTGGGTGCGGGCCCTAGTAACTTAAAGAATCATTCAATAGAATTCAACAGAACCAGCGGCGAACTCGTGGTGCAAATTATTGAAGCGCCGTTGCCACTATCTTTTAAAAAGACGAAAACAAAGAATAACATAGATTTTATGAGTTGTATAATGTCATCGAGTAATGTGGTAGAGTAATTTGTGATTAATATAGGCCAATTATCGTCTTCGGCGTTTTCATCTGGTGAAGAGGGTGATTAATTGTAAGGAGACGGTTCAAATTTGAATGGAGGGTGGTAGTCAGTCTTCGGACGACTCAAATATTTTGTGACACGTAGAAACATCTAATTTAATTCGTTTGCCAAAAAATAGAATAAAAAAGGGATAAAATAATATCCCTTTTTTTTAAATAATTATTATATTAGGAAATTATTGGCAAATGGCAAGTTCATTGATATATTTTTCTTGCCAAAGCAAAGGGGGTCACACTTTATCTATTTTCTTATATTATCCTTGAATTATTCATTTTATATTTGTAAAAAATATGTTTGGAACTCTCAAATGCACCCTTTCATTTGATTTATAACACGGCATGGTTACCTTAATTTCAATTTTTAATTTTGGATTCACTACCTAAAGTTAACAATCGTAATTTATTTATTTTATTCATCCATGTTTGGGTCACGGACCTGAGTATGTACACAATTTCAACTTGATCGGTTCAGTAGATTCCGAGCAAATACACCGTGACAGACAGACAGACAACCGAGTGATCCTATTAAGGGTTCCGGTTTTGCAAATTGAGGTTCGGAACCCTAAAAATTCTATTTTTATTGTTGTATAATTTTACCCATTTCCAATGTTTGTATAATATTTGTAACAAATAATAATAAATAGTTAACTTTACACTCCAGAGAATTTGGCAAAACATATAGGTCATATCAAATATTAATATTCATTAATATATCTTATTTCATAATTATATTAAACATGACATAGAAAGATTTCGAAGCCCTGCTTCTTTCAGCCTTTTTTTAAGTTCTCCCTTTCGGGGAAGGCAAGAGGAGCAATGCCCATACAGCCTGAACTTCTTTTTTTTAATGTTATCGGGAATGAAGTATAGTGTTACGCGTGCGTAAAAAAGCTCAAGTCACATTGACGCAGAGTCGAAGCAAAGTGAAAAGTTTCTTCGTCTCTATTTTCATTAATATAACAATATATTTACGCAGAAAATTGTTTTATGTAAAAAAATATGAATTCGCACGCATATAAATTGTCCCGAAACGGACAAAAACTCACTATGCTTTCAACTGTAAGTTATGTGGGATTAAACTTAATAAAGTGAATGAACCGCAAAATATATATTCGCTCGCGTAACACTAAATACAGCCTGAAAAATCCTAACCTATTTGTTAATATAATTGGCCAATAATAAAAACTTGAATTAATAAAATTCAGCACAACTTTTGGCAGACAAGCGTCAAAGTGAGAAATTCACAAATAAAAAATTACAGATAAATAAAACTTAATATTTATGAGATATTCATTATATTTTTTTAACTTAAATGAGAATCAGTTAAGAAATACTGCCGCATCATATGCAGCAAGACATAAATATTGAAAAAAAAGCGGGCGACTACACTATGGTAATGATCTTTATTACTAAACGCGTAGAGTTGAAATTTTAAATTGAGTTTACCACAGATCTGTCATATTTAAATTTTAAACTAGACATTTAAATAATTAAAATTCGATATAGAATTTACATAAAATACAATTGTAAAACATTTACTCGCATTTGCAACATCACAGATCAGAAGCACAAGCACGAATTTTGACAACTCTGTAGTCGTATCGTTGAAAATTCTATGAACACTAAGCAACGCCCCTATCGAACGTAAGAACAAATTGGCTCTTTCAATACAAAATGTGATAATGACGATACGATTTCAGAGCTGTCAAAATTCGTGTTTGGGCCTTAGAAGGAAAATACATTGAAATCAATTTAAGTACTTACTTAATTAGATAAATGCGTTTTAATCTTTTCGAATAAAAATATATGATATTTCATATTAACGGCCAGTTTCAATAATCAAACGCGAGTAACAGATAGGCCTAATGAGACTTTATTGCCTAGATATTTTTACTATATTGATAATACAGTAGAACGCCGATTATCCGAACGCTGACTAACCGAATCGCCAATTATTCGAATCGGTCCTAAGCGTTAAATAAAAAATTAAAACCAAGTTATTTTGGTTTGTTTTGTTGTAACAAGTTGGAACTCGCTGGAATCCAGATATATTTCAAGTATTATGGTTGAAAGCTTGAGGCAAGACACTGTTTTGACACTTGACGCGGTTTTTTTTTCTACTATGTACCTCTATTATTGTATTTATTATGGTAGAACTGTGTTTGTTAAACTTAATAAGGTTTATTCTGTGCGACAGTTCGATTTTCTTTATTACGCGTCTATGTCCGATTATCCGAATCGACCTCGGTCCCAATTAATTCGGATAATCGGCGCTCTACTGTAATAACTACTGTACTGATTATCCCACAGAATACAGAAAGAGGAGAAGGGCCTTGTGGGCGGGGCAGGCCCACAGTTATGTGTGAGAAAATGCTCGTAACTTGCAATTATACTTGATTCAGATTGCGTCGTTGCTCTCGGGTATGAGCGCTGTTTGGTTCGATTGTTTTGTGTCGCGTCGTTTGATTGGCTATTATCTATTAGGTGTGAGTGTAGTGGGGGCGAGCCGGCGACATGGGTTCCCGTACAAACAGTCTGTGATCACTCTACTAACCTCTTTCTGGGTTCTGTGGATTATCCTTACATTTTACAGGAGGTTTATTATTGAAACTAACCATATCTGATATAATTCGAAAATTGAGATCTGACTGATTAATTTGAACTTTCTTGCCAATTACACACAGTCACACATTAAACAGATGTCATGATGTATCTCAGATTTGAGAGCTAACATCTGCACTCAAAGGCAAAAATTAACTCTAAAGTTTGCTTAAAGTTATCGCCGTCGATTTCTTTGCTGTCACGATTGAGTAAAACAAAACGCGACTTTAAATTAAACTAATTTGACGTCTCTGAGACGTTAGTGATACATTTAACAAATAATAGTAAATAAATAAATAACGCATCATCGACTAGGTCGATATATAAAATTATATTAGAGAGAATATTAATACTAAGGTAAATTTCTCACATAATATATAAAATACTGCTAAATCAAAAAACGAGACCAACTGTATAACACGTGTCATTAAAGAAGGCATCGCAAATGACGATTTAAGACATTCTGTCCCTCTCCCACATACTATCCTAAGTAACGTGCAAAAGAGACAAATGTCTTACGTCATCGTCGACACGAGTTATGCTTTATCAACTCGATATAAAGCCATGTTTTACATCCAAGAAGACTAGGAAACAAATTAATCATTCAAATTACACATATAATACTGGAAAAATAAAATTAATTGATTACAAATATACATTAGGATGTATAAATTAACGATGAAAAAAAACATTAAAATAAAACTAAGTGCCGTTATGCTGTTACCTCGAAATAATATGATTCTGCAGTTACAGTATCAACAATATTATTCAATATTTGTTTCTTAGGTTTTCACGCACATCACTCATTAAATAAAACTAGTGTTAACGGGTTAATTCACGAACTTTATTTATTTATTGACGTTTCGCAGCCTTTTCAGGTCTACATCGTCAGAATAACAATTTTTTATTTACTTTGTCAAGCTACCTTCGAAAGACTGTCTGTCTTTGTCTTGTCTTTGTGTCTTTCGAAGGTAGCTCGACTCGTAAAAGGCTGCGAAACGTCAATAAATAAATAAAGTTCGTGAATTAACCCGTTTAAACTAGTTTTATTTAATATTATTCAACCTATTAGAAAACGGTGACTAAATTTAAAGCTCTAAAATGGATGCTGTCACCATGTGTTGTTTGTTTGCTAAACAGAAAACAGAGACAGCATTACGATTTACATCAAGTTTAACTTCGAAGTTCTTTTATATTATTATAGTGTTTAGTTGATTAAGGTCGATATTCGCTTGTAGGTACATGTTCTCAGTAGTTGAAACCGTTTTCTCCCATTATTGAGAACGAGATCAGGTAAATTATCAATTAAAAGTGAGTCGTATAGTATCAAAGGCGGCAAAGTAGGACGAACCAAATATTTGGCAAATCAAAAAAAACTGTTTAGTCTCGTCTTTAAGGGAGACATTTCACTACGATTTGTCGTTATGATGAATGTCAATGAACATAAAATCATTGCGCAAAGTGAACCACAGGCACCATAATAATAAAATAAAATTACTATTTTGCCGCCTTGATAGTAAATTATTAGAATGGCCGATTTTGAACCGAAGCTTGGTAAATATGGCCGCCTTTGACGCGAACTAAATGTTATGATAGCCGAGTATGAACAGGGTTGTCAAAATTAAAGTTTGTTATATTTAATTTATATTTTTATTAAAAAATAACAGAAATTAAGAACAAATAATAGACTGAAACAAAAATCAAATTATTTAAAATTAAAAAAAATTAACCGAGATTGTTTCGTAGTAAAAAACAAAAATTTTGTTTACGCAATCACACAATGTTGGAATAAAATTTCCTTTTATGGTTTTAATGAACATGGACTCAAACATAAAAAATCAATTAATAATAAGAAACTAAAGACCAGGTTTTATTAAGCCGGAGTCTTGCGTTCTATTTGGAAGATCACTTGCAATTGGGCACACACCGCACACATCATAATATGTGTTTGCCATCACGACAATGGAATGTTATAATAAAATCAACTAAATTGAAGTAACTGTAATGAATGGACTATTGTACTATATTTCTACATACATAATAGTATATGGATAATACCTACCGGTAATGTTATGAGTAAAAAAGGATAACAAAAATCATGTTTCAATCTTGAAAGATATTCCACGGGCAGGACACAGGAACTATCAAAACAAATTAAAAAAAAATACGTAGTAAATTCAAATAGGTGCCAACCCTAACCTAGTAAATAACACGAAATTATTTTAGCTTTTTATCACATTCCTCTTGCATGTATCGCTATTCCTTCTTCGTTTGCTTGTGTAATTAGTAGTACGTGTTGGAGTTTGCTCCATGATAAGTATCACACACTAAAGAAGAAACTTTAAATCACTAAAAACTCAAGTCAAAAATGTATTGAACTGCACTTTCTGCCATGTTGCGACGCTACTGCAGAAACTCTTCTGATTGGTTGAAATTGAAATATGGTCGGTTATGATTGTGAGATGAGAAAGATTGCAACCTTTGAAACCAAATTGTGTTTTCAATCAAGTTTTTAAGGGTATTATGGTCATCTGTAATCCTGAATGAGAGATTTTTAAGATTTGTTTTTAAATTTCCTGTGTTACCATACTCGTATCTCATTTTTGAAAATCTACCTACTTTGCCGCCTTTGATACTATACGACTCAAGTGACAGAAAACAAATGAATGAATATTTCGACTATAATTTCTTAAGAGTTTTTTCTTGTATATCTATTAATTTTGTTAGAAAGTATATTTTTTATTCATAGAATTATGTACGTTCGTACTTCATTTTTTTCAAATATATAATATCGAGGTAACTTATCTCTTAACATAAAGTATGGTATTTCCTGAAGTTTTCTTACTTGTCGCCATTCTCTTGCGCAAGCTTCGGTTTCTTAGTGGGCGGGGCGTTGCCCGCAAACATTGCACCCGAACGAAGTTCAGACATAAGGAATGGAACCTGCAGTACGAAAAAACAATATTTGACTTGCTATAATATATCTTTCGCTTCACATCATCATCAGTCTATTAATATCCCCACTGCTGGGGTACAGGGCTCAATGCGGATTGGTAGAGGCTAAAGACTGCAGATACAGTAATAAACTTATGATTACTAAATAAACTTCTAACTTATATTTTTTAAGCATTTAACTGCTAGATGTTTAAATCTAAAGATTTTTATATAAGAAAATATTCCAGGCGGACCAAGCAGCGAACGGGACCCGAACCCGCACCCTCCGCTGGTCGGGCGAATGCATGCATGATTGTAGATTACCTACAAAGCCAAGAGATGGCACTGCCTTGTAACCTAAGAAATAATAGAGAAAATTCGACACTGCCATCAGGGCCGCGTAAGCATAATGGTCAGTGCATTCGCCCGGATAGCGAAGGGTGCTGGTTCGAGTCCCATCTGCTGTCTGATTCGCGTGGATGTTCTTCTAATAAAAAAAAACTGCTAATTTCTTTAGATTTAAACATCTAGCAGTTTAATGTTTGAAACACAAATATAATACAAAATACTTGTAAAGGTATTTCGTTTGGCATTGTGACCTACAATGCGAAGAGATGGTGCTGCCTTGCAGCCTAAGAAATACCAGAAGAAATTTGACACGGTCATTAAGGTCGCAGTTGCTTAATAGCTCAGTACATCCGCGCAGATAACGGAGGATACGGGGCCGCGTGGATTTTTTTCTAGTATTTTTTAGATTAAAAGATCTAGTAGTTATATTCTTTTAAAAAACTTATAATATTACTAGTGGCCGCCTTCGTACGCGTCGAATTAGTTAGAAATAAAGGTTCACTGCTGGTTCCCCGTAGGTGATAGCGTGATAATATGTAGCCTATATGTTGAGCCGACTTCTTAATAATTATTCGTGCCAAATTTGAAGTAAATCCATGCAGTACTTTTTGAGTTTATCCCGGACAAACAGACAAAAATTTTAAATACTATATTTTTGGCTTCGGTATCGATTGTAGTTCCCACCCCAAGTATTCTTTAAAAAAAAACAATGTACAGTTTTGACTTTCCTACCATTTTATAATATGTATAGATTACCTTGTGTTCCAGTTGCATGTGATTGTTCGGCGCCAGAGACAAGCAGGCTCGCATTATGTTCTCTATACAGGCGCGTTGTTTGTAGAGAGCGTTGATTACGGGCGCAGATTGAGGAACCAATGGTGCTTTCAAGCAGTATGATAACACTGATAAAACGCTGTGCATCGACTGCCATTCTGTGAAAAAATATTACTATTATTAGTGGCTATTGGACAGTATGAAAAATAAAGTAGCAATTTATTGTTTAAAACTTTCATGGTCACTAACATTATAGTAATATAAGTTATTTACGGTATTGTTACCATGTACCTTATTTTTAGCGAGTTTCCGATATTTCGGCACTGTTGCAAGCGCCATGATCACGGAGTAACTGCGTGATCTAGTAACAATCCCCTAAATAAGTTATATTACTGTAACGTAACAATTGTTGGCATCTGTATTAAATATGAATATTAGCGGCGATCTTACTTACTATTCAGAAAGAACAAATAAGAAATAACTTTTCTAAAAAAACATCATATAGAAATGAATTTTATGTTCCAAGATCATGTGACCGGAAACGACTGGAATTGGCGGAAGGCTAAAATGACGTCACACGCGAGTAAACTTCTGGTCAAAGTGACATTACACTGTATTGTTTGACGTTTTAATACCATTCAAGTGACGTCACATACCAGTGACTCGCCATAATGTCCAGAGAAAAGTTGTAGCGGTAGCTTGATAATTGTTTTTTTTTTATTAGGATTTTTATTGAAATACACAACAGAATGATGAATATAGACTATAAATTCCTAAATAACATGAGATCGTCTTCTAAATCTTGTCAAATACCCTCGGGGGGCAGTTATCTCTCTCTCTCTCTCTCTCTCTCTCTGGGGTCACTACCTCATGTCTGAGGATCTTGGTCAGTCAGGATTGCATCTGGAGCAGACGATCTGCTTCCATCGGTTTCGGTCCAGCCGCTTCTCTTAGCCACTGTTACTAAAGCACAAAATTTGGATGAGGACAAATCTTTAATCTGGTCGGTCCATCTTGTTGAAGACGACCGCGCGATCTTTTGCCTTCGGTGTTCCCAGCCATAATAAGCTTTTCCAATTTTGCATTCCCTCTGCGCATTGTATGGTCGAGGTACGAAAGAATACGTTTCCGGCTTAAAATGGACAAATGAGTTTTTATGCGAAGCTGGGTCAGAATTGATGCATTGGTGCGTTTTTCCGTCTAAGGTATTATCAGCATTCGTGCCCAACACCACATCTCGAATGTATCAATTCTTTGCCTTTCTCGGGCTAAGATAGTCCACGTTTCGACCCCATACAGGAAGATAGGGAAAACCAGAGCTCGTATCAGTCTAATCTTGGTTTTGACACCAATTCCCCTCTTCTTCCAGATGTTCTTTAGTCGGGACATAGCATCTTTGGTCATCCCGATTCTCCTTTTTATCTCGGGGACACAACTGCCGTCATTATTGATTTGGGCGCCATAGTAAATGTAGTGGTCGACGGTTTTAATCCCAGAAATGTTGCAGATCCCGATGGTTAGCTTTCTGGCTCGGTCAACTATCATCATTTTAGATTTGTTCTGTTTACTGCCAGACCGATATTGGCACTTTCTACCTTGAGTCGTTGGAACAGCTAACTCATATCTTCCATAGTTGTTGCCAAAAGGATGGTATCGTCAGCATACCGAAGATTCGATAATCTTTTTCCACCTATAGGGAAACCCTTCTCCCAATTATGTATTGTTCTTCTAATGATGTACTCTCCATATATGTTAAAAAGTGCAGGGGACAAGATGCGACCCTGTCTCACTCCCTTCCTAGTTTGAAACATATCGGAGTATTCAGTACCCATTCCCATGAACGAACGGTTATTAGTGTACAGACTATGGATCAGTGCAACGAGGTATTTCTCCATCTCCAACTCCCATTTCGAGTTGCACGTTCCACAGTTTGCATCGTGCCCGTGACATTCGCGGGTGCAGGGTGTGAGGTCCGTTCGGTGGTGTGCCTCTAAAAGGCGCCGTCGTCTGTAAACAAAGGTTTTGCCTGCGTTACAAAACAAAAAAGATAAAAAGTATCCTGTCCCAATCCAGGCCATAAACTATATGCGTACCAAATTTCATCCAAATCCGTTCATTAGTTTTTTACGTAAAAGCGTAACAAACACACTCACTTTCGCACTTATAACATTAGTAAGGATTAACTCTGTAATTACCGTTCTTTGTTGCAGAGATCTATACCGCACAGAAAAGAATTCGGCGAACACTATCAAGTCGAGTATGAGCAATACAGCTAGCAACGAGCCCTCGCAAGTGTTGTGGACCACTATAGTGAATAATCGCAAGTGTTGTGAACCACTATATAATTCTTGCAAGTGTTGTGGACCACTATATTATTGGTGCCGTGTCTATAATCGCCTGCACTTTGATGATTTTTATATCGCACTCGCAAGTGTAGTAGACCACTATAGTGTCGGTGACGTGTTTATATACCTGCACTCTGTTGTTGTTTATATTGCACACGTGAGAAGAGTTCCGCCAACACCAGCAGGTCGAGTATGAGCGGGACAGCTAGCAACGAGTCCTCGCAAGTGTTGTGGACCACTATAGTGTTGGTGCCGTGTAGAAGTATCTCGGATGTGTACTCGTCCATAGCGCGTTTTGAATCACCTGAGAATATGATGGATTTTTAATTATGTAATATTATTTTGAAATAATTTATAATAATTGCTTATGACTGCACATGTAGCCGGGACTAATGGCTTAACGTGCCTTCCGAAGCACGGAGGAGCTCGAAAAATAAATTTATGGTCACCCATCTTATCACCGACAATTGCAACACTTTCTTATAGCGGGGAGAGGCTGGTGCACTGAGACACAGGCGTCAGCTTAGTTTGGTCATCAGCTCCTCACAATCTAAGACCTAAGTTCTATAATCTGGTACTTATGAAGCATGTATAAGATTGTGGAGAGAAAATAAAGTTTTTATTATTTTATTTTTTATTATTATTGAGAGAGTTGCTTAACGATTGCAGCGAGATCCTCTAGAAACTTTAACTAAAATATACTTATATATGTCAGTATATAATATATATTCTATCCGTTATCCTAGCATCCCATAACATAATCCTTACTGTGCTTATTTTGGGGCTAGGCGAAATGGTGTGAGAAATATTTATTTATTCTTTATCACCTAAACAGCAAACGGCGGACTTAATGCCATAAGCATTCTCTACCAGTCAACCAGTAAGGATGTAGAAGACGAATGATATGGCAATAGAATAGAATGCCCACTTACGTGAGCATAAAATAAAAACAAAACTACGACTTAATTAACTATATGATACTATTATAACTAAAAATGCTTACTTTATTTAAATAGAATATAAAATACACATACATACAGCTATTATATGATATATTATTTTAAACTTTCATGGTCACTTTGAGTTACTCCGTGATCATGGCGCTTGCAACAGCGCCGAAATATCGGAGACTTATAAAAAAACAAGGTACATGGTAACAATCCCGTTAACAGCTATAAAGCTATTATATGATTTCAAAATAAATAAATAAATATGATGATATAATAAACCTAAAAGTTCAGAGAAACATCTAGGTTTTCAGATAGTATTCACTTATTAGTTGTTTGAACTCTAACCTATATTAGTCCAGTCAACAAGTTCAAAAACGTGAAAAATAGAGATAAAGCTCCTAAAAATATGAGCAATAGCTCATTGGATTCGGAACGACCTCTAGAAAAATGAGTTTTGAGGATTTTACTGCACGTAAAAAATTGCAATTGTTATTAACAAAATAAGATGAAAAAAAAGAGGTATTTACGTTTTTGTTAATAACTCATAAACTATTAATATTTACGATATTTGGAAAAAAGGTCCTTAAAGAAGAGGAAATTTCCGAAAAAGAAGTCCCAGCTCCCGGAACTCTACCTCTATTATTTATAATTTTAATTTAACGCTGAAAATAGGGCTCCGCGCAGCCATTACGGCATGGGCGCACTGCCGTTAAAGACAGTTTCTTACATAAAATTATTTTTTTATAGTAACAAATATGAATTTAAAAATTTAAATAAATTATGGTGTCATCCAGATACTTGAAAGAATATATTCCCGTGCGAAAAATTTTTTTAAATTAATTTTTCAAAAAGTTATGCAATTGTTAATTAACGAATTTTTTTCCTATCTCCGTTTTCATAAATGACGACATAAAAATTTAAATAATAAACCTATAAATTTTTGGCTCTGTGGAGCTCTTCTTATATATATACTTAACAAGATCCCGCGATAAAAGTTTATTAAAGTTAATTATTTTGTTTATAACAATTTTTTAAAGTTAACAAAAAATGAAAAGTCTAAGAAATGTTATTAAAATTTTTTTTTTAAACAAATGTTATATTATTGCTGCTTTCTTATCCAACAATGGCATTAAGTAACATCGGAAAAAAAAATTTTACATCATTTGTTAAGAAATTGTTTATAAACAAATAGACAAGTTTAATATTTAAAGAATTTTTTGTTTTACCATTATGTTGTCTTGGCAAAATAATGATTTTTTAAAAAAAAAATTTTCTTAAATAATTTTTTTTATTGTTTATAATCGTTTTTTTTATATTTCGATTGTTTAAATAATTAGTTAAAGAATGATTTTCTCTTTAAAAATCATAATTGGCATTTCTTCATAGGTAAATAGAAAAAAAAATTTTTTTATCAATAATTTCATTGTTTGTTAACTTAACAATTTGTTATAAACAAATTCTAACTACCGTTATATTTTTTTTCTAAAGCTAAAAAAAATAACAAAAACAGCCATATATATCAAAATACTAAAAAAAAAAATTTTCTATTTTTTATAACGCTTTTAAATAGTACACGATACCAAAGTTGCACCGGACACTTGATTTGTCAAGTAAAAAATTAATATAACTTATAAACTATTCGAGATACGATAATGGACATTCAGGTCGTTTTTATAAAGCATTAATTAATCTTCAAAATAAGCTAAAAACCAAGTTTGTAACTATTGTTTATCAGCTAATACATGCATTTATTTATAAAATTTTGAGATTTCTTTAACTTTTTCGTATCTCTTATGACTTACAACTTAATAAATAATTAAAATACAGCTATAAACCTTAAAACAATTTTGTTTAGCGATACATTATCTCCCAAATTATCAATTAATCGTACCTCCATCTCTAATATGACAGAAAAGGTGTCAACTAGTTCAGTTCAAAACTTCGATAGACCAAGCTGTTCTGCAATCCCTCCCTTAAAGAAAAGAAGGAAACGAACTATTTGAATTTGTATTATTGCATTGTATTATTTCCTCAAATATATTTAGAATTATTATTATAAAACAGTGACTTTTATTTTATAAATCCATTTTATCCTAATATTATTTCTAATATTTTTTTCATACCAATAAATGTAATTCTATTTAATTATAATAAAATATATAAAAATATGGTTTACATGTAAAAATTTAGAAGATACGGCAGATCAAACTACAAAAAATATGAAAAAAAAATACTTAATGACATCGAAGAAACTATTTATTTAAATAAATGATAAAATCAGTTTCACTTAGAAGCTATAATAACTTATAATAATGTAGAGAAAATTAAAAAATTACAAATTGAAGGTAAGTGTTAGATAAATATTAAATAAATATTAATTAAATCACGTATATTGTTTAAACAATTAGAGATGGAGGTACGATTAATTGATAATTTGGGAGATAATGTATCGCTAAACAAAATTGTTTTAAGGTTTATAGCTGTATTTTAATTATTTATTAAGTTGTAAGTCATAAGAGATACGAAAAAGTTAAAGAAATCTCATAATTTTATAAACAAATGCATGTATTAGCTGATAAACAATAGTTACAAACTTGGTTTTTAAGCTTATTTTGAAGATTAATTAATGCTTTATAAAAATGACCTGAATGTCCATTATCGTATCTCGAATAGTTTATAAGTTATATTAATTTTTTACTTGACAAATCAAGTGTCCGGTGCAACTTTGGTATCGTGTAATATTTAAAAGCGTTATAAAAAATAGAAAAATTTTTTTTTTAGTATTTTGATATATATGGCTGTTTTTGTTATTTTTTTTAGGCTTTAGAAAAAAAATATAACGGTAGTTAGAATTTGTTTATAACAAATTGTTAAGTTAACAAACAATGAAATTATTGATAAAAAAAATTTTTTTTCTATTTACCTATGAAGAAATGCCAATTATGATTTTTAAAGAGAAAATCATTCTTTAACTAATTATTTAAACAATCGAAATATAAAAAAAACGATTATAAACAATAAAAAAAATTATTTAAGAAAATTTTTTTTTTAAAAATCATTATTTTGCCAAGACAACATAATGGTAAAAAAAATTCTTTAAATATTAAACTTGTCTATTTGTTTATAAACAATTTCTTAACAAATGATGTAAAATTTTTTTTTCCGATGTTACTTAATGCCATTGTTGGATAAGATAGCAGCAATAATATAACATTTGTTTAAAAAAAAAAATTTAATAACATTTCTTAGACTTTTCATTTTTTGTTAACTTTAAAAAATTATTATAAACAAAATAATTAACTTTAATAAACTTTTATCGTGGGATCTTGTTAAGTATATATATAAGAAGAGCTCCACAGAGCCAAAAATTTATAGGTTTATTATTTAAATTTTTATGTCGTCATTTATGAAAACGGAGATAGGAAAAAAATTCGTTAATTAACAATTGCATAACTTTTTGAAAAATTAATTTAAAAAATTTTTTCCAACGGGAATATATTCTTTCAAGTATCTGGATGACACCATAATTTATTTAAATTTTTAAATTCATATTTGTTACTATAAAAAAAAAATTTATGTAAGAAACTGTCTTTAACGGCAGTGCGCCCATGCCGTAATGGCTGCGCGGAGCCCTATTTTCAGCGTTAAATTAAAATTATAAATAATAGAGGTAGAGTTCCGGGAGCTGGGACTTCTTTTTCGGAAATTTCCTCTTCTTTAAGGACCTTTTTTCCAAATATCGTAAATATTAATAGTTTATGAGTTATTAACAAAAACGTAAATACCTCTTTTTTTTCATCTTATTTTGTTAATAACAATTGCAATTTTTTACGTGCAGTAAAATCCTCAAAACTCATTTTTCTAGAGGTCGTTCCGAATCCAATGAGCTATTGCTCATATTTTTAGGAGCTTTATCTCTATTTGTCACGTTTTTGAACTTGTTGACTGGACTATATGATAAATAAATAAAGTTATGACAACTCACCGACATAGGGCACGTACTTGATGACAACCACGTGGTCGGGCTTCTCACCTTCCTTGTACAGGATGCGGTTGGACTGAACTGTATCGTCCACAACGTTACTCTTGCTGATCTGAAGTGAGACAAACATTTTTATGAGTTTTTTTTATATGAGAAATTAGAAACTGCCCGATACTAGTTTAGAACTAACTAATTTTAAGTTAAGAACTATAAGAAGTCCTTTAGTTGGCGTTTTGAATTAAAAAAATAAATAATAAATATTTCTAACACTCGCACAAAAATCACAAAATAAATAAATGTCAAGAAAAACATCACATTGTTAATGGACGGCCCCTAATGTATGGCGTAAGAAGCGATTACACATTAGAAATGCTACTACGATTATTATTATAATGTTTTACCTCTTTGGATCGGAACTGCTTCGGCGCGGAGAGATTTTTACCGTCGTTGTTACCCAAATGGTTGTAGCTAACAATGGATACTGGTTTTAGACCTGTTGAAAAAAAAAATAATATAAAATAACAGTCGGTTTAAATTGTTTCTCGCATACTTGAATAAGTTTATACCATATTGATATTGCGAGTCACTTCGTCCATGCCTCAACGAATTAGCAATTATATGGAAGCATTACTCTTTACAAATGCCGCTAGGACATGGTTCCAAACTCATACAACTTCAATACAAACAAACAAACGCACATGGAAAAAAAGAATGCTTTGACAAATCAAACATCTGTAAATGACTTCGGCTATTCACTCATTGGGCAAGATTATTAACGGAAATCCCAACCGATCGCATTTTTTCGCCCCACCAACTTGATCAGAGTTTGCGTGGGACAAAGATCAAAATGTGTCCGAATCAAGAAGTGCTTGAACACGACTCAAGCACTTCTTGGTTCACAGTTACGCGCGGACCGTTGAAAAGTCAAGTTGCCGCAAAGCTCCGTGAAAAAATGCGAAAAATATACTTATAATATGTAAAGTGTCGTTTTTTCGACAAGTATCTAATCAATGTTTGTTAATATAACTCATGTGAAGCTTATTTTGTTCAAATAGTTACTATAAACGGATTTAATAGAAAATACTTGTGATATTCAAATGCATGGTCGGTAATATAGTCGTCTAATCTCTTTCCTCGCGGTCTGTACCTGCTATATTGCTAACAGCGCATTCAGAGTTGCGCGTAGAATCAAAGAAATAAGGTTTATATTCTTCCGCTTATAGCAATAAGTCGGAAAATTTTAAGACCTTGCATCTCGAACTGTCTTAACTCTTTGACGCATGCGTTTTGATTATCACCTTATACAGTATGCATTAAAGGTGACTTTCAATGTTCAAATAATGCCTTATATTGTTTTTGATTATGCGATCTTACGGAGCTCCGTGGATCATCTAATGTATCTTTTGGACAGGTTTCGGGCAAGATTTTATTCGTGTTGGTGTATCTAGGGTATTTAATATCGTTTTAAATTTGGAACCATTTTTTAGCATAGTTCGTATTCCATATTACTTCTAATTCTTTGATTTGCCTACAATAATATGCAAGGACTTGAAATCATATTAATGTACGAATGCACATAAACCCAGCATATGATATATATGTAAGAGATATACTAACCAGCTGCTACGAGGAAATCTACAAGCACGGACTTGAGCTTGGTCTGTCCGGACTTGAAATCGTCTCCGGCCACGAATACACCGCGTGATTCGGCTCGTTCTACGACACCTGGCACTAGAGTGTTTTGCGGGGAACCGTTTATGTAGCAACACTGGAAATTATAATGGAATAGAGATTACGTACTGTTTAAGACGAATTAAACCAGTATTGTGGGTGTAATGAAGGCGAGTCTGCACAGAAGAGGCTCAAGCACGAATTTTTGACAGCTTCGTAAAGTATCACAGGATATATTACGTCATTACGTATCCTATCCTCATTGGGATACGTTACAGAGCTGTCAAATAATACGTGCTACCTCATTTATTTAAAAATCAGTATTTAGATACCCTTATAGTTGTACTTTAATGTACGATTCTGATATACCAACGCAGCGCATATTACAATTTGCTGAAGGCAATTGAAACATCCACAAAGTTCCTTATTTACACGCGGAACCGAGCGGAGTCCGAGCCCAGCCAGAAGAATTGCATGCAAATAAGGAATTCAACTACTTTGTGGATGTTTCAATTTCCTTCAGCAAATTCATAGCTGTTTTCAATTGCATGCAAATAAGGAACTTAACTGCTTTGTGGATGTTTCAATTTCCTTCATCAAATTGTATGCGCGTCGGTAAATGGGAATCGTACCTATATGGACATGAAAAGCGTTTTCTAAGTGTCGTTAATATGGTGAATTCTCATTCACCAAATTTTCTCCGTAGCTAAAAGAAGACCCGAACTGCTGGTATGGAATGAAAACCCGAACAAATACGAGTCGGACTCGCCCGCCGAGGATTCCGTACAAATTTGTAGGTACGCAACATAAATATCCATATTAATTTTGGTTATAATGGTATATATGGTTAAAATTTTAACTCGATACCTCAATGCGTGTCCGTGATTAAGGGGTCTAGACAGACAGATAACGTTAACTTAGAAGTTTGATTTTTCACAGCTTCAAGGGACCGCAGGACTGAATGGTTAAAATATGGTTAAAATTTCAACTCGATACCATGGGGCGTTCCCGAACTAAAGGGACAACTAAGTGATACTATGAGGGTTCCGCATTTTCCTTTTGATATATAGAACCCTAAATATATAATTTTATCATAACTCACTCCCTCGTCGATGGCGGCCAGTGCAAAGATGGTCGAAGGTGATATCTCCTTATCGTTGTTGTGAAGAGCCTTCTCCACGTTGTCCGATGTATCGTGGACACCAACGCGGACATCGCAGAACCTGCCATAACGTTAAACGACGCGTGAACTCGATATGGCGATTTTCATAGGTAGCGGTTAACTTTTTGAGCAAAACCACTTCAATTGAATATCGCCTTTTTATTATTTATACTCATATTGGTTTCGATTCTGGCATGGTTCTCTTAACTTAATATATGTCTATTCTTTTCTATTCTGTATAGAGATTAGTGAGGATGAGGATGGGTGATCGAAAATTTACTATCTCGAGCTCCTCCGTGCTTCGGAAGGCACGTTAAGCCGTTGGTCCCGGCTGCATCTGCAGTCGTTAGCACCCACCAACCCGCACTGGGCCCGCGTGGTGGGTCATGGCCCTATCTCCCTATTCCATCCATAGGGAAGGCCTGTGCCCCAGCAGTGGGGACATTAATAGGCTGATGATGATAGAGATTGACAAGGATACACTGTTGTGAAATTTAATTTTAGGTTTAGGGAATCATACCAGAATCAACATATTATTCTTATTAAATATAAGCAAGTAAACATTTCTATTCAGCGAATTAAAAAGACAGGACAGTTTCGACCGAGGGTTCCACAAAACACAGAAAATGCTATATTGCGTCGTAGTTCTCGGCTGTGAACGCTGATTGGTTCGCTTGTTTGACGTCGCCTCGTTTGATTGGCTATCTTATTGGCGTCGTTTGAGACGGTCTATGACCACCCTTCTGACCTCTTTCTATGTTCTGTGGAAGGTTCCGTACAAATTTGTTGGTACGCAACATAATTTATGCGTTAACTTAGAAGTTTTCTCGCAGCTTGTATATTGTAGGATTGTAGACCTGAGTATGAGGTTTAAATTTTCAACTGTATACCTCCACGCGTTCCTGAGGTAAAGGCTTTTGGCAGACAGATGGACATCAAAGTGATCTTATAAGAAAGAAAGAAAAATCATTTATAGGGGTTATAAGGGTTCCGTTTTTTACTTTTGAGGAACGGAGCCCTAAAAACATAGAGTATTACTGAGTTCAGCGAACCCGGTAGTGAGTATTTCTGTAACAAATTAAGGCGCGAGTCCTAAAGTGTTAAAACTACTTGGCGTCCCTTGGTCTAGACTCTTATATTTAAAATCGCACCACTCTATATAGTTGGGTCATTGACCATAAAATGACATACCAATCTCATGTATTGTAATAGAAAAGTAACGGTACGTCGAACGAAACTTAATAAGGCGTAAGTTGATATGCAAAAACGCTTAGAGCATTTGATTTGCATGCTCTAAAGCAAAAACATCAGCTTTTTGTTGAGATTGATTTGAAAAAAAAAGTGTAGTGATATCATTACCTAATGTTTACCTGGTACAAAATAGTTTTAATTTAAGTCGTGCTAATTTAATGGATAGTCTGTAAAAGTATTTTATTTTAAGGAATAGCTCCCACATAATGAAAATTTTAGAAGAAAATATTCATGCGGTCCAGGCAGCAGATGGGACTCGAACTACGCACCCTCAGCTATCCGGGAGGATGCACTCAAAATAATTACTAGGAAAAAAAATATATTTATAAATGTAGTAGTAAAAATCCTAAAACAAAATATAATATCTCCCATGTATTTTTTTTTTCCGAAATATAGCAAAAACCTATCTACGGACAGGGTAATTTCTTTGTATAGCGGTTAAAGTTGATTTTTCTTCATATATATCTCTAAAGGAACAGTACACAGGAAATGAAGGAAGAATCAGTAGTACCCAACGAATTAGAAATAACATGGAATACGAACTGTGCTTAAAAGTGGTTCCACACAAATTGCGATTAAGTGGGCGGGGCGCAAAAACTGCGATCAACACGCCTATCATGGGATTGGCTGGGATTTCCGTTTAACATTATCTTATACACTGAATGGATAGCCGATTTCATTTACAGATATTTGATTTGTCATAATGTTTTCCTTTGTCTGTGTGCGTGTCGCGTTAGTATTGAAGTTAAGTTGTATGAGTTTGTAAGCATGTTTTAGCGACTTTTGTTAGAGAGTAATAATGCTTCCACGTCATTTCTAATTCTTTGGTGGTACCTTACCTCTCGGAATACCTGAACAAAATGGGGATAGATTAGGTACCTCTCTGTGTTGGCTGTCCACAATATGTAGACCTTGTCCAGCTTGTTCTTGTCCCGGAAGCTCTTGATGTCGGCTCTTATCTGGAGGTACTGTTCGTGTTTCGTGCCCCGGATAATATTGGTTGCGCGGTCCGCCTGCGGAATGAAATCTAGACGATGTACTAGACGTTGTATTTAACATTTTAATTCCCTTAACACTAATTGAAGTAACAGTTACTATTTATTATTATTTTACCTACTTCTTGAAAATTGGTATTTCATATTATGTATTTGTATACTGTGTTCCAAAGGGTTCCAGGAGACCGAAGAGCTGGCAGCTACCTCAGACAAAGATTTAGTCTAGCTATTCAAAGGGTGAACGCTGCCAGTATCTTCGGAACCTTGCCTAAAGGGACTCCTTTTAATAATGTATTTTAGTTATTATTTATGTTTTTAGTTATAAATATCTTTCTATTTGTTCTTTAGTTAAATGTACATAACTATATAGTTAGATAATAATTAAGGATGTTACAAATATTTTAAGTTCTTGAATTAATTTATTGAATTTGTTTTTCGACTTATATAATATAAAAAAGTGACCTTTGAGAAAATGTTGCTGCTTCTTAAGGATATTCTGAATTAGTGGTTATTTTATATGTATTTAGTCATATATTATTTTATACTTTCATGGTCACTAACTTATTTTTAGCGAGTTTCCGATATTTCGGAACTGTTGCTAGCACCATGATTACGGAGTAACGTAACGTATCACTAAAAACAAGGTACATGGTGGCAATTAGTTAAGTGAATTACTATAATATATTTAGTAATTGTAACATGTGTGATGCTGATATTAAAAGGTAAAACGTAGTTTGCCGATATTATAATGTGTAACGTATTTACATAGATCTTCTAAGTCTTGCCAAGTGAAAAGGCAGTGAGTGAACATGTTATTTTTGTTAGTGTTTATTTAACTTTGATCTATATTTAAATGCGCCTTTCCGGTAGGAGATGTGATAGTTTTACACCGTGTGTAGCAGCACAAGCGTTATTTTCATAAGTATTTAGCGTCGTTCGTTCGTTTATAACGTTCTCCGTGTGGTCACACCTTTTGTTCACTTTCCTTGGAACTATGCCATGCCCGCCCATAATACGACACACACAATTATGAAAATATTATATACATGTATGGTTTTATTATCGGACTCAATCCTTTCAAGCACTTACTAGAATAATAAAGTACGTAATATCATTATATGCGGGGGATATAATGATATGGGGGCTAATAGTATGTAGATGATACGATTTTTCCATGAATTTATATTAACCATAGTTTAGGTCTGCACTTTTTTTTTTCAATTTTGTTTTTTTTTTTATTTTATTAAGATTTAAATTATGTAAGTATGTCTAACACAGCTGTTATTTAAAAAAAATCTATATGTAGTTGCAATCTAGCATATACTTGAGTTCTTTTGTATTTAATCTACTAGACTACAAATTAGATCTGTGCCTATTAAATAAAATGTTTGATAACAATGATTGTATTCAGTTTTGTGTGCTTAATGAATAAATTCCACAAAAGGTGTATGAAATATCTTCCCAGTCACAGCCACGTGTTTATTTCATAATTTCGATGTACTAACGAGCTAAAATTAAATTTTAATTGAACATACAACAGGAAACTATGAATAATAAGCAAACAACATAGGTACCCATGTTGGTGAGCATGCGATAAAATAACTTTTATTTAAGTACTTCCAATTAAAACGTTGTGTTGAGTGATTGATTAAATGAAATGAAATGAATCTAAAAAAATACAACAAGAAAGGAGAGTTTTTATATCTCATCCAAAGTTATTGGAGGTTTATACGATTTAAATTAAATTAAATTTTACTTTATTCAAATTGACTTATTGAATTTATGTATTTAGTAGGTAAGTGGTACAACAAAAATAATAAAAAAAATGATTTCTAAGAATCATATTTTCTGCCCGATTTTTGTCCAGTATTCTGATTATTCCCGAAAGTTCAAGATAATCTTAAAAAGATGGATGAAATCGATAACTTCGTTTTAATGTTATGGCATGTCCAAGGGATATATAAATTTCGATAGATAAAGATAAGAATTCCATAAAAACAACAAGTCTTCCCAAATGTTAATAAAAATTCAGAGAACGAAAATAACAAGCCTGGTAAAATTTGAATTTCTTCTAGACAGCTCTACCTAAGACGACCGACGACGTGCGAAAAAAAAGGAAAAACACGGCGAGCTAGCGAACGACGGGCGCCACCTGACACAGTGTTTTGTAAACAGTGCAGCGGAAAAATGGTAGACTTCCACAGCACAGCGGTCCGTAGACAATACAGAGAAATTGTAAACACACCGCCTCTATTGTTCGGCCGACACGTGGAGTGGATGATTAATTAATGGGTTTACGAAATGATTTTCCCAACCAATACTAAGTAGAAAATGTAAGAATAAAATAGTAAGGATGCTAGCGAATGTACAATCGGCCAATTTAATTCCTGACCCAATATAAGTTTATTTTGTTGCAACCATTTCTGCTTTAATGTATGTATTCCTGGAAACAAACTTGTTATTTTCTGAACCATCATATTTGGCGTGACAGATTTTACCGCCTTCCTGTGACATAATTTTACCATTCAATTATTTGGAATTTTGCTCATGGACTAAGGATTTCCCTATTAGCAACGTTTTTTTATAATCGAAGTCAAGACACCGGCAGTTTCAGTTCCATTTACGATTTTAAAAGTGATTTCAAAATTCTAACTACTTTTCCAATTTTATCTATAAATATGGATGACGATCTCCGTGGCCGAGTGGTTTGTGCGCCGGGTGTCAAGGTGTCGCCTACTCGAGAGGTCCCGGGTTCGAATCCCGAAGGGGGCAGATGTTTGTGTGATTAATAAGAACATTTGTACTCCAGTCATGGAAGTTTAATATGTATTTCTATATATATATATATATATATATATATATGTATATGTAGTAGTGTAGTATATGTATTCTATCCGGTACCCTAGTATCTCCTAACACAAGCCTACTTTGCTTTATTTGGGTCTAAGCTAATACAGTTTTCTTGTTATTAGAAGATCCCAAGTGCAAATAACGCATTCTCTACAAAAGAAAACTTGTCCGTTCTGACATTTTCAAGCGAATTATCAGGCAAGAGTGTCCGTAATCAATTGATTTGGAATACATACATTACAACGGCTTAACGCATCTTACAAAGCACGGAGAAGCTCGACATGATATATGTTTCGAACGGCGTCTGTGGCGCTCTTCCCTGTAACCGTTCGAAACGGTGCGGTGGGGTGCGGATGCCTATGGGGCTGGCAGCTTCAATGAAATCCCTTTTTCTAGCTTCAGTGCGCTTGTTGCTTGTGCAGTGGTGTATCGATGAGTGGTGAAAGAGATCGAGGCTCTCTTTCGTCGTCTCGCGCGTCGCCGGCGCCGAAGGCGCCGCGGCGTGCGGGGAATCTGTTCTGGCGTGGGCCACTTCAGAGGTGTCGGGTTCGCATCCTGTTTGCAAACAGGACGGTCGATGGGGCTGTTACCCCCGCCTCCGCTTCTTCACGCGTCGCCCTCGGCGCGGTCAAGCCCACCGGGTGAGACCCTTGAGGGAGGCCCAGTGAGCGACCTGCGAGCGGGCGACGGACTTCAGCGGGCAGGGGTAGTGGCGTGTCCGAGGGTAGGTGATGCGAGGGTGGGTGTGAAAAAAGTTTTTTCTGCCTGCCCGAACTTTTTCACAAAGTCCGCTAGCAGTGCGGTGAGCTGGGATATCAATCTGGCTGCAGCGTCTTCTTGGGCGGGCGGTGGCGGTGAGGGTTGGTTGCCTTCATTGGGTGGTGGGGCTGCGGTAGGTGGGTCCGTCGGCGGAGTTCCGCTCGCTCGACGGGGCTTACGATTGCGTCGTTTTGGGCGGCTGGTGCGGGAGGGAGGAGCGTTCGCGGGGGCCATCAGCGTGGCCGGCGCGTGCTCGCTCACCTCCGTGGGCTGTTGAATTGGCTCAGTGGTCGAGCGGCCTGTGCGGGCCACCGTGGTGGCGCGGCGGTTGCGCGCCTCGCGGTGTTTCGCGGGGCACGCGCTGTAGGTAGCCGGGTGCGCGCCTGCGCAGTTTGCGCAAGTCGCGGGCTGCGTTAGCGGGCGGGGGCAATCTGCGGCAGCATGCGGGTCACCGCAGCGCACGCAGGCAAGCGGGCGGTGACATCCATGGCTGGAGTGGCGGAACCCCTGACAGCGGTGACACTGCGCGGGGGTCTTCCTGCCTCTCCAAGCCTCGATCTGAATTCCTGTCATGTGCAAGAGTTCGCTTACGGCGTATATGGCTGGGATGGTCTCGGGTGTTCGGCGTAGCGAAGCGAAGTAAAGGCATCCGGTGCGGCCTGCTCGCGCCCGGATCTCCTTCACGTGGTCCACTGTGAAGCCCTCTGCAGTAAGGGCCTCTGCGATGTCGTGCGGCTGGGTGTTGGTGGGCAGTCCTCTGATCGCCACCTTCAGATTCCTGTCGTCGGGGTGGGCGTGTGAATACCAGCTGAGTCCGGCCTGGCCTTCCAGTCCGGAAAGGTGGGCCTGGACGAGCTGGGCTTCGTGGTCATCGTGCGGCAGGAAACGCACGCCCGAACCAAACGGGCGTACGTTGGGCGAGCGTCCAAGCTTTTCTTTGATTGCGCACAGATGCTTCGGCCAGTCCTGCAGCTGCTCAACCACTATCGGCGGGGGCTTTCGGGCCCGCTGGGACGTGGGAGCGCTGCTGGAGGCCGGTTGCGCATTCTGTGCGGTTGTGGCTGAAGCGGCGGTAGTCGGATTTTTTCCTTAACTTCGGGGGTAGGCGCGAATTTTTCGGCGGCCTGCGCGTACGACTGCTTCGGCTGCGTCGGTAAAGCAGTCGGTATGTCGTCTCGCGGCTGGTCTGGGGCGGCGGGGGTGGGTGGTTGTTCCACTGTGGGGGTTGTTACCTCTGATTCGGTAGCAGGCTCGTCGTCTGAGAAGGGCAGCTCTTCGCAGCTGTGCGAGCGGGGCGCAAGGGTATCGCGCGGTCGCACTGCGCGGGGGTGCCTCGGCTGCGTACGGATGGGCTCTAAAAAGATGTGCTTTGGCGGCGGGAGCGTGAGCGGCTGTGCGTTGACGGAGCT